AGTCAAGCACCCTCTGGGCTTGTAAGGATTAAGTGCAGTTTCTATGGTCAGAATTTTGTGAATTCAAAGTGAATTTCAAATTTAAAAGCGCACTAGAGTGTCAGGAATACAAACATGTATTTCTAACAATATAGTGTTACACTAACTGTTTAGCTTCCCTACCCCTATCAGATCGCTCTAAAAATGTATTAAGCATATCTTCTATCCGACGCTGCACCAAACTCGCCATGAGTAGCCCCACCTGTTCCCGCCTTCATGACTGAGATCATCAATCTTGATGATAACAGCCAACCCAATGCTTCCCTACAGGAAGGAAGCAAAACACCACGCTGTGCCAATCAGCATCTCCTCATAGAGTTGCATTGAATCAATGCATCTTTATGGGGAACGTACAGCATTAACTTTGAGTTCCTAACACGTTTCACATTAGTGTATAACCCCCACAATGTGTCCTTATCTTTTACAGATGTGTCTTCATTACATCACCATGTTGTGATGTCATGTTCCTATACAAGAGCCTCAGAGCATTTGGAGAGAGGAGATTTCAGTTTTTCTCCCCTTCCTTCACACTCTCACAATTATACCATAAAACAAATGCAAACTTGCTGAATGTTAAACTTTATTTTGTACACAAATATGGGCAAGCTCAACAAACATGACAATGAGGCATTTCATCTATAAGAAGACATATATTAAAAATTGAAAAACTGTACCAAAGATACTTTCTCTATCTACTCTTTTCCAATGTTTTGTATACAGAAAGCAACTTTTAGTAGGCTTGTGGTGCAATGTTTGGGTCTCCGACAATATTCTACACATCACTATAATTTTTGCGTTAATTACAAGTCAGCATCGCCCGACATTTAAATACCGTTACAAATCTGCTCTCTATTATTTGATAGTACTCAATCATTCAATACAGAAAACGCAGATAAAGAACATTTAAACTGTTTGCGCATGAAATTAGTGGAGTCCTTAAATTAAACGTAGGATGCTGGTAATCTGCGGTAATGCTCTGTAAAGGATCGTTTACTATACGACTATATATTACATTTTACTTTTCTGTCTAGTTTCAGATGCATAATTACTGGCTTATGTTGATGGAAATAATGAAAATCTTGGCAAATGTGCGCTGTTGTTTTGAAGTACTTCACCAAGGAAACTAAAAGAGTACATGCTGTGTCTTAGCAAGGCTGACAAATGGAACAAAAAAGGTGTATTACTGGAAATCGTGATTACAACAGAAGATGTAAAGAATCTGTTTTGGTTCTTGCACATCAATACTGCATCAAGCTGCCATGCACTAGGAACAGAACCGCAAAACTTGTTAAATGGAAGATGCTGAGAGCTAAATTATTTTGTAAGCAAATGTTGGTAAAACAAAAGTTTCAGGAATCATTGGTAATTACCAAGCATTAAAAGGATCTCTAATATATGTTGGCTATCTTTCCTGAAACATTTATGCAGCTTTATTCACTGTAATGTGAATTGTGGAATAGAAAGATGAGAGTGGAAAATGTAACCAAAATTAGCAAAATTGGAAAATGTTTCCAACTCAACAATGTCCTAAAATGGGACACTTCAACATCAACACATTTCTCAGTTTTGAGAATAACCTCCTATGGGTATTTTGCAAATTACAAAATCCACACCTACTTCTAGTATAGGGAAACCATCCTGTCACTCACTGTCAGCCTGCTAACCTTGGACTTTCTTTAGTGTCAATCATGTATAGTGATGGACACTGTATTTGGACTTCTGATAAAGACTCTGTGTAAAGTACCTTTATGTCAGTCCTTAGTAATTACAAAAGCATTACATAAATGCTGAGTTTAATCCAGGTCAGGTTGAGTTGATGATTCAGACCTGGTTCTTGATAACGTGATTCTGTATTTAATGTTTTGATACGAGTCACCACCTGCCCCCCTACCTTGTAGGAGAATTAGAGGAAGCACGGACCTTTTGAATAATGACACTATGTTACTCTCTCAGTCAGATCTAATTTCCTCCTACAGATCACACACACATCAGTACACTCGCACAGTAAACAACAGTTCATCACCCCAGCAGACTATTACGTAATACGCCAATAAACAGGCAGATATGATCTAAATATTCAAGGCCAGATTCAAGGATTATATATAATTTGCAAAAGATAGTGAAAGAGGGTAAGTGAATTATAGAGTATCATAACTAGGGTCCACTGGGCCCAGCTGCAAGATTAAAAATTACTCCCCATTAGGAATTTACCTAAGTGGGCTGTGTATAGTGGCTGAGTGTGTTTTTGGTGACTGGCTAAGTGCAAGATGTATTTGTGAGCATATTGAATGTGATTGTGTGTTAGTGCTGGCTGAGTGTGGCTGTGTGTGGAGTTGACTTAGTGTGGCTGTGTGTGGATTTGACTTAGTGTTGTTGTGTGTGAGGTTGGCTGTGTGTGATTGAATATGGGGTTGGTTGAGTGTGATCGTGTGTGAGGTTAGCTGAGTGTGGAGTTGGTCTGGCACTGTGTGGGGTTGACTGAATGTGAATATGTGTGAGGCTGACCGAGTATGGTTGTGTGTGGGGTTGACTGAGTGTTTGTATGGGAGGGTTATTGTGTTGGGATTTTTTTAAGTGTTTACCCACTCCTCCTGACCTTTCTGTAGGGCACTATTATATTTAAGAGCTCCCTGTGGTTATTTGTTATTTAGTACATTCACGAATTGACATTATAATTGGTAGTACTTAGTGGATATTTTGAGTATTGGTATATATTCTTTGATACTCATTATCTATATACCGAGCATGTGATAAGCTTGCATCTATTTAATTGAAAAAAAAAAAAATCTGCATATGAATAGTTGCCATTAAGTAATGCAATTGAGATATTGTGGTCAAGTTAATTTTTGAATGCCAACTTAAAGGAACACTTGAAGCACCTCTCTTGTGGTCATGGTGTCACTAATGACCTGGTGCTCCCCACCAGTATAAGTAGCCAGACATTTTTACTTCTCACCTGGGGTCTTCCTGGCACCTGTCACTTCCATTACTGCAAGCCACACGCTCGTACTAGGAGTTTCAATTAGCTCTCCTCTCTTTAACCCCACCCATGAGCTAAGCCTAGCACCACCAAGGATAACTTAGAGGACTTCTTGTTCTCGTAGAGGATGTTACTGGCACAGGCAGACCCCAGACGTCTGTTAGCACACTAATTACTTATATTGGTGAGAGCATGGGTACTCCTGACACAATAACTCTAACAATGCACTGTAGTGGTTATTGTGCTCGGAGTGTTCTTCTAAACCAACATTTATTGTATTAGTCCCTTTCGGTATACTTGTTTATATCTTGTCTTACCCCTGTTTATATATGAAACTTCTAGCATTCATAAAAAAAACATAGTTTGATATAGAATGTCTACTGTTCATCAATTAGCAGTTTACAGCAAACCTCTTAGTCTAGAGGTTTTTTGAGACCATCACACCGCAAATCGATAATACCTGAAATCTAAATGAGCTAATCCTGAGTAAAATCAAAATCTTGGTCAAAATATATGTTTAATATTTAGATTGAATTATAGATATTGTGCATTTGTATTAGTTGTATTTTTTATTAGTTGTACCTGAATCCTATGGGCTATTGGCAAGATATTTGTTAACTTGAATACTTGGATATCATCAAATCAGTGAGAATACAAGGCAATCTTCTTCAAATACAAAAATTCTTAAAAATCCGTCTAATCGCCGAAAGATAGTTATATAATAATTTACTAGACTTGTACACAGCATGAACCTTGTTTCCCAAAAATAGAATAATTTTCAGGATGCCAAAATTCAGCCATATGGGAGATCGGCTCGGCAGAATTTCTGTACCAGAAACCTGATTCTGTAAGGAATCAGGCAAGCCACGAGGGAGAAAAGGTAACCAATATAGGAAAAAAGGAGAGGGAGCAGTAAAGAAATCTATATTTACACATTTTATATTTATTATATTTGTAATATGTAAGAAATATATAGAGATTTTTATCCCTTTTATCCCTCTATTACTCACTCCTGAATAAAATTAAATAAAATGACCATTAAAGGAACACTCTGCTGCCCACATTCAAAATAAATAAAAATCACTATCACAAGTGAAAACTTACATGCATTTTATTAAGCATTTTTTCACTGGGGTAAATCTAAAAACAGATTACAAAACCTGCAGATCTCTTGTCTGCTGCTTTTGCAAGACCTTCCCTTCTAACCCCACCCAGACTTTCTATGGCTGTCCAATCTCAGATTTCCCAATTTAGCTCAATGAGAAGTCCTTGAACGTCAGGTGCTCTGAGTTATTGCAGCCTCTTGAGTCTAGCTCTACCGAGCTAACCAAATAAGGAAGTAATATAACCTGTTGTCTGCTTGAAAGCCAAGGGGGTGTAACCAGGTTAATTTATAAAACTGTTAATTTCTATTGAAATATGCACTTTATGCATAATGAAAAAAGAGGACACAATCTTCACACATATAACTTTTCAACAAGCTAAAGTGCATTAGGGGTCTGGAGTGTCCCTTTAAGTAATTGTACCCTGGCCATCAATCATTTTTTCCCCCCATCAATTATCTATTTTTGTTAGCGCCATGGGTGAAATTTAGAATTACTAATGAAAACAAACAAGCTCCACCATTGTGCATTTTGTTTCATGATTCAGGTACATTTTGGTTCGTAATTTTGTTATTCGACCAATCACACGATCAGTCCAAATTCGCCCAAATTGCATTAAGGGTCCAAATGAATCTGCAAGTCAATCACTTACAGAACACTAACCAAAGTGCATTTAATTGCAAAAATTACAGATTTTGAAAAATTCGCCAACTTTTGTATGATCACAGCTTGGCTATTTTAGACTACATTTCACAATGTTTTTTTTAATTCACCTGCATTCATTTTTTAGTGAATAACTCTGTAGTCCAAATAAAAAATATCAGTTTCTGTAAGATCAATGGTATCAGACATGTATAACATATGTTTATTCCTCTTACCTCACGTGACGGTGGAACTTCTCTTCTTTAAAAGGTACGGCTTGAGTAAAGGCACCGTGTCGTAAGATTTTTGGCTTTTCATTGTCTATTGCCTGCAAAAATATTTAAAAAAGAAGAGAATTGTTTATTATTAGCTATACATTTTTCAAATCTATATAATTCTAACTATTATTTTAAAAATATTGATAACAATATTTTAAATCAATAACATCAATGTGAACACTCATATCCTCAAATTATAATTAGTTACAACTAGAAACAACCTGTAGTAGCAGTAAGAGCCATTTAGTAGTGTGTCCTGTTGCACCGCAATCACAACAGCTCTCCATCCAAAATGGAAACAAAGTAGAATTTTGGCTATTTTTATTATTTGTAAGAAAGTCTATAAATCAGGTCCTGCACGGCATACAAAAACTGTATTGTAATTCTCCTACATTGGCAGTCTGTTCACACTTAATGCTCTATGGGACCACATGTACTACCTACTTTAAAGGGACACTATAGGCACCCTGACCACTTCAGCTCATTGAAGTGGTCTGAGTGAGGTGTCCCTATTACCATTAGTGCTGCAATGTCAATAATTGCAGTTATAGAGAAACTGTAATGTTCACATTGCAGCACTAAGTCTGCCTCCAGTGGTTGTCTACCAGACAGCCACTGGAAGTGCTTGCTACATCGTAATGGGTCTGTGGTCCAATATCTGATGCTGGACAAACTTATGTTCTGCTTAAGGACATCCAGCATCAGATTTTTCCCCATGGGAAAGCATTGATTCAATGCTTTCCTATGGGTAGGTCTAATACATGTGGCGGGATGTCGGAAAAGGTGGAACTGCGACCCATCGCTGAGGGACATTCGCGCTGGAATCATGTAAGTAAATTAAGGGTTTTTAACCCTTTATTCATATCGGTGGGGGGAGGGGTGTGAGGGAGGAGGGAGTCAGGGGCACAGGAATACAGTTTTGTATTTATAGTATCCCTTTAAGGGAATTGGGAATTGTATAAACTTAATTTTGGCCTACCAATTGCACAGCTGTTGTCTGCTTACCATAACTTACACATAGGTCAAATTTTACTATTAATGGGTCCCTGGGTAATCAAGTGATCAAGCCTTGCCCCACAAAATGAGGATCTAGTTTTAGTTTGTCATTTTCTCAATTTTAGTACAATCTAATAGCTAACTAAGCATTAGATACCGGTTGTGCTAAAGTTATTTTATTTTCATTTACATGCTTTGCCTGATAAAATATGAAAATGTGTTAACTCCAGCGGCATGTGTTTAATTTAGTATATCAGCCACTGTGTTTTAAATGTTATTGGCATATTAGAAGCAAGTGAGATTTTGATGAACTCTATGTGTGAAAGGGCTTGGAACCTATATGAAGAAACCTGTTATACATGACCTACAGAGGGAGTTGTCGAGATCTAGAATCTTCAGGAAGATGTTTATTTCACATTACCTTGCAGTATATGTCATGTTATCCGAATAACAGCATTTTTGTTATTTAAAACTGCACTAGTGCAGTATGTGTGATATGAGACATCCACAAACTCCCATTCCATGTCAATTACTATATTTTAGACAGGGGCTGCTCCTAAGGGATACGCAACCTATCTTAGCCTCTCAACCAAATGTAGTCGTAGCACAGGCTACCCTACTGTGCTCATGCAGGCATGGTACATATATTGCCAAATGCATAATAGTCTGCTATCCCTACTCTACAAGCAGTATGAAAAATAACAAAATCACTATACCATCTGATGTATTATATCATTAAATGTCTTTTAACATAAGCACACATCTAATGGTATTCATTTACCAAAAGAAAATATTTAAAATAGACTTAACCCTAAAGGTATATTTCCTGATACCACATTGATGTCTCAAATTACATACACTATATTATCACTTAATTAAATTGTCATAGGATGCGTTTAGCGAATTATAATTTCATGCATATTGCATATAGGGGGTTCATGCACTAAAAATCCAAGTGAATCGCTAACTGAATTTGCTAAATCAAGGAGAAAAAAGTTGATTTGGACAAAAATGTATATTCCAGACTAGGTATTATTTTACCCAAATGTAGCATTTGTCCTTACAAAGTACTGTTTAGTGAATAACTCCAAAAACTATTGTTATAAAAAATGTAAAAATACAAAATACACTTTTTTTTAAAGAAAATGTTAGACATTATATGTTGTTTTGCCTGTGTTTGATGTCACAGCATCCAAATAATTGTTTACCCTTTAGAAATACTTGGGAATCGCATTAAACGTGGGTTAAATGATGGGGGAATGAGTCTTTGAGGAATAGCCTAAAAAAATGCCAAACATGAAAATACCAAGGGATATCAAAACTAGTCAACACAAGTAAAAGAGTGGAAGCAGGTGTACAGGAAATGCTGAACACTACAGGCCCTGTAGGGGGAATAGCTCCGTATGGACCAAAAGCTTAGACGTGTAAGGCTGAACAAGACTGAAAATTCATTCAGAGATGTATTGGGATTCAAGCTGGAAAAATCAACAAAAATGAATTCTCTTTGGAAAACAGCAGCGATTCAGCTTTTTTTTTTTTACATATGTATGTCAACACGCTGGGAGATGAAATTCGCCTTTAGGTATTTCCAACTATCAGAAAGTGTTACAAAAACTGCTAACTTTCCAGAGATTGCATCCAGGAACAAATAACAATGTGAATCAATACTCAAAAGGCACAGACTGATCAGCCTACCATAGAGGTTTTACTGAATAATGTTGTATCCTTTTGCCCAGTTGAATTTATTTATAGCAAACAAAAAAAAGTTGGAAAATTATATCTTTTGAATCAGATACATCTTTTAAACAAAGTAAAAGAACCTCTCGTTTATGTAAAAGCAATATTTTTCTACATTTTTTTTTTGATAGTGATACAGATAATACTAATTTTCCAACCTGACAGTTATAAATAACAATAGGTTATTTTAAAAGGTTTTATGTAGGTGTTAGAAGTGCACTCAACCCTTCGTCATGGAATTCAGGGTGCTCTAACGGATAAGTCCCAGTACTAAAAAGGACCAAATTATAGAATTTCAGTGTAGAAAATAATCCAGGAACTCCAACGAATTCCAAAGAAAAGGCAGTTTTATTAGAACCAGGAATCAGAAAGCAACGTTACGACCCCTTAGGGCCTTTGTCAAGCTTAGGGTTGAAACGTTGCTTTCTGGTCCCTGGTTCCAATAAAACTGCCTTTTCTTTGGAATTCGTTGGAGTGCCTGGATTATAAGAGGTTTTGTCCAGAATGTAGAATGTTTAAGATTTCAAGACTAAAGAGAAGTCTGATGTTAGCTAAATCCAATGTTTACCTTCTCATAGTCTAAGGTTATTTCAATCTGACATCCCACTTTAGTTCCTGAAATAGTTGTTTTAGTTTTTTTACAAATTTTTAAAAATATTTTTATAGAAGATCTTTGTTGTGATGGAATTAATCCATCGTTGGCCTTAAGGGGTCAAACATGAAGTTCAACAGATGGTCTCCTCAAGAGTCACATATACAATATGAAAAAATACAAAAACAATACACAAGTACTACTAAATTTGAAAAATAGATGTTCAGAAATATTTACCATTTTATTTCTGCTACTAAATTTGCACTGCACATTTTTTTTTTTTTTTTACAAAAGCAACATTGCTTTACAGCTATATAGATTTTCAACAGTTAAAGAATAAATCAGATTTTTTTACACAATGTTCATTCCAATTCTAATTGTGGCTGTTAATACATTTTCCCTTACATTTCATTAATTAAAAAGACGCTAAGGGAAACATTTACTCATAAAATGCAAAAATGTCTAGACAACAAATTATTACTACGCTTAACACACCTAGTAATTTATCATTGCAACAGCAATTTGTAAGTTAATTTAATCACAAATAAATTCACAAATTATAACTATTTTAGAACTAATCACACGTTGAAAAAAAACAAAAAAACAGCGAGACATGCAAACTTCATTCACAACTTATCACTATAGCTCAATTAAATTCTCTGTTTTGGGTGTTAAAACACATATAAAACATGTTAGAGATAACATTCAGTATTGCAGTTTTTCTTCATACATGCTCCTTTTACCAATTATTTTCTTTCCATTCTAGCTGCCTTTATTTTCCTCATTGCTTCTTCAACACATTATGTAACCTGGGTTACTATTTTTCTAAATGCCATTTAAAAAAAAAAAATATATATTGATGTTGGTGAAAATATAATGGAGTGACCGTGTCACCAGAACAGCTTGTTCTATATTCTTTTTAAGAAGTGCAGCCAGAGGAAATATTACCTCGGTAAGCTTTAGGTGCGTAACAAGCTGGAAGGGGATCGGTGAAAGTTATGGTGTCATTTATTAAGGTATAATGAAGTAATAAATAAGTCTGAACTGCAATATCTGGACACTGTTCACACTATTTAACAATGTCCGAATTTTGTAAATAGTGGAAAATATAATAAATAAATAAATACATAAAAAGCCTCTGGGGATGGGACATGTGAAAAAAAATGGGTGGTAGGCATAAAAAGAGTGCTCTGAAAGGTAAGTCTCCAGAGAGGTTTTACTAGCCAACCCAGAAGAGTGCTTCTACTGATATTGCATAGCGTGAGAAATATTGACATGTGATGTAATAGCTAAAATGCCTGGGAAAGACAGCTGCAAATACTACTTAAAATTATCGTTCACTGGCTCATTTGTGAATGTGCATCCTGCTAGATTCATTTGGTCCCAATTTATTTTAAAATCAGTGCTTTTTTAATCTTCTGAATCCTATATTTTGTATAGAGTTCGGTTGTGAAAGCACTACGTTCAGACTAGACACCCAATGCATACAGGCAATTGCTGCAGCTTCCTTCGGGTCATCCAAATTCCAAACATATTTGATGTTAGTAAATATTGGAAGTCGTAATTTTTACCAGGTTTTGTCACATTTTCACCAGGTTTTGTGACAAAATCCGGTATTTAGTGAAAAACCTTGATAGTGTACAAATATGGCACATGGTTAAACTTTTTGAGGTGAGAAGGTCCGTCTGAGAGTGGCGCCATGTCTGGTCTTGTGGCTGACCGAGGGGCGCAAAAATAAGAAGTGCAGACCGGATAGGCCAGTGGTCGTCGGAGGCCTATGCGGCCTGCACTTCTTATTTTTGCGCCCCATACCACGGAGACTCGATCGCTCACACTAGGGCATTTGTGGCTGTACGTTTTTGGGTACTTTGTCCAATAATTGTGCTAGTCGGCTCGGAGCTCCCCAGAAACACATCCAGAGAGTATGGCTGCCGGCTCCACCCCCTCAGTCGATCTTTTAAAAATCACCACTATGGAAAATGAAGAAGTCCCCATATTGTTTTCTTTATTCTAATAATCTGCAGAGTACCTTGTTCAGCTCTTACATACATTCTTTCAAAGGAGATTTGAATACCACAGTGTGTTATTTTATTCATGCTTAAGTTCCTGCTTTAAATATATTTTCTATTTTTTTTATTTTTTTTTATTGAGTCACCAAAAGATATAATTAAACACTGTTAGAAGTTATCACCACACTTGCTCATCGAGTATGTCTTCATAATATTTATGCAAGCTAAAATGATCAAAACATAGCTTTAAAAAAATGCAAATATAAAGCTGTAAATCTGTAAATACAACCTTACTTTATTATTTTTAAGAGCTCATATGATTCATCCTCACATGAGCTCTTAACTAGTACTTTTAACACTTTCAGAACTCATCACATAACAGGACAGGATGATAACGAGCCAATTCCCGGAAGGTGTTAAATCGTACTCCAAAACTAATTTGATTTTTTTTCTATATAGATGACTATTTAGATTGAATTAATCACAGGATGTACATCCCCATTATGCCATAAACAGTCAATAAAGTGGTCTTATCTTGGTCAGCATAGATTGATTGAAATTACAGCGTATCTCGTCATCTCATCAAGCGGTTGTTGCAGTTGTTGCTGTACTTTTCTGATAGCAACATGGTCAGGAAAGAAAGATTATTTACCCAATTTATTGCCCTCATTACAACAAAAAATACAATTAAAACATGTTTCCCATTGATTGTGTGTCTTCTTGTATATTTTTGTGGTTTTCATATTTGTTTGCTTACTTGTTGTTTTATCATGTTCCGGGCGACTTTCAATCCTGCCTACAATTACAATCCTGGCCGTTTATTATCAACCAGAAATGTTGTTGTATGTAAAATGATTAGGGGATGACGCTTTTCAATAAAACGCTAGTTTAGGGCCATTGATATCAGTATTTGATTTAAAAGCACAATGTCTGGAGACACTCACCATAGTCAAGTGAATTGTCTTCCTATCTATTTGAAGGAGAAATTAGTACTTTTTGATCTAAGACACCAAAGTTATTATTTTTATTTCCGAGCCCAGTTTAGTGCTTAATGAACACATCACACTATTTTATTTTGTCAATCTTTCTTTTATTGAGGCTGCAAGTGATAACATACAGAAAAAAGAAACAGAGTTAATGCATACGGTTGCAAAACAGAGTTACAGATACATGCACATAGTAATAAGCCCGGGAGCCCGGAGGGACCAAGTCCTGCCTCTTAATAGGGGAGCGTAGGGTCTTGATGGTAGCTCGCTGGCGGTGGAGTAAGATCCTCCACTGTCATGGATGATGCTGCAGGGTTTTGCCCTGTGTGGCCCTCGGCCTCAGCAGGCTAGTAGTCGTGGGTATGTTCGCCGGGGTATGCTTGATGCCTTTAAGAGGGTCTCCCCTCCTCTGGATCCCCCTCTCTCGGCTCTCCTCACTAAAGTGTAATAGTGTGGTTGTCTGACAGACCTCCAGAGAGGCCCAGAAGTTCTTAAGGAATTCTTCCAGTCTTCGCTAAGCCTGTTCTGTGGGCTGACTTGTGTCAGTTCGCAGCTGTGTTCATTCGAGTTGGGGATAGTCGCCATCTTGCATGTTGCAGCTGTAGCTCACACAAAGTCGGGGCAGCCGCCGAGATTTACAGCCTTGTGGATTGCAAGCCAGTGGGGACTGCGATATCCCCCATGGTCCAAAGGGGGTGGAACAAGACTGCCAGGTAAGCTTCTGAGAGCACAGGTTCTCACCCGGCGGGAGATTGGCCGCTTCACCCGCCAGGCCCTTCACCAGGCCTTGTCACGATCTCTACCAAAGTAATCCAGTGAAGTCACACCAATGGGTCAGGGGCACCCCTGCAGGTTCCAGACATGGGTGAGTCTCAGATATGGGCGCTAGTGCAGGCTGGTAGTGTAATAGTCCGTTATTATTAGAGATCGAGCTCGGAGCCCTCACGTTGCACATCCAGTCGCCATGAGGCTCAGACCCTGGCCCCCACATCACACTTTTTTAACTCATGCAGCACAAGCTAGGAATAGTTACACATACCACACCACTAAATGTAAATAGGTTGCATTAAAAATGCATGCTAATGTTCATATTTTGTGCTGGATTCAGTGGAAAGCTATAATAGCAGTCTCTTTAATGCAGACTCTATTCCACCTCATCTGCAGTTGAAAAATCTGTGCTGGATTTTAAGAACCACAATTTGAGCTTTAAGGGACAGTACAATCACCAGAACAACTACAGCTTAATCTAGTTATTATGGTGTCTATTGGCTGTCCCTGCAGGTTTGATTGGGGTGGGCGATCCAAGACGGACCCGCGCGTCGCTGGAAAAAAGGTGAGCAAAATTACCTTTTAAGTTTCTGAAAGGGGCCGGTCACCTAAACGGCAATCTTAGAGCTATAGTGTCAGGAATACATGTTTGTATTCCTGACACTATAGTGTTGCTTTAATTAAGCAAATTTAGTGTACAGATATTGCCCTTGCAGTCTCACTAACAAATTCTCTGCCATTTAGGAGTTAAATCACTTTTGTTTCTGTGTATGCAGCCCTATTCACACGTTCATTTTCAAACAGATGTTAACTTGCTTTAGAAGTGTTGTCTCCTGCTCTGTAAATTGAACTTTACACACACACACACACATGGGTTAAATTAAATTAAATAAATGGATTTACAGTATATTGAGCTAATATTTAGCTCCAAATTAGTACGCCTGGGTGGTATTGTACCCGTCTATGAATATATGATAACTGTAAGAGAAACAGGAAATATCAATATAGTGTAGTATTGTAGGTATACTGAGTGGAGTGGAGATATGTTTTTAGTAGCCTTCTAGTGAATAGTGTGGAGTAGAAATATTCCCACTTTTAGATATATAGTGGCAATCCTTACTGTGGTGATATGTGAATTAAAGATAAAATAAGAAAAAGAAAAAGAAAGAGATCAAATATAGTGCTCACTGTATACTTTAAAAGTGGTAAAATAGTAGGAAATGTACTCACAAATATAGAGCAAAAATAGTTTCCCTCAGTTTTAAGGGCTTTGGTGGTATTTTCCCCACCAAGGAAGATGTCCAGATCCATGACAGGATAAAATAGGAAGGTCCAAATATCATAAATATATGCTGGTTTTATTAAATACAATTAATAAAAACAAATAAAGCAGAGTAAAAAACTACAATGTGTTATTTACAGTTGTTAACTGCAGTCTAAAGGGATGGGTCATGGTGCAGATAGCTGCAAACCCCCTTTTTCCTTTTAAGCAAAACTATTGAGATTTTAATGTAGATAAAACCAAAGTAGGAGTACGGAACAAAAACAAATCAAATGTACTTAAGGTGTGTCGGTGCCCTTTTAAGACCTTCTTGTAAAGAGTCATGTAAGGAATACCATGGTTGCAGAAAGTATAGGCATAGTTAGTACATCCTCCATCTGTAACTGGAGAGTACTAAACCAAAATATTATATTACATCTACTATCACACCAGCTTTATAATATAATTTACATTTAGTTCATCAAAATTACAAGTTGATATGAGTGCCGTGCTCTGTGCGTGCTTAAGGTAAAAATCAATGCATCTAATCGTAATACCTGACTGCCATGAATCAAACACAGTTTATGGAGTACAGTCACAGTGCAATAGGGTAGCTGAAATGTCAGACAGTAGGATAACAAGCAGTTAACCTAAAAAAATGCCCTTACTGTCACCAAATATAGCAATGACTGTCAACACCTGACCTTGTTAGAGTAGCACATACATCAAACTTCACTGAGCCACAAATCAGCATCAGTTTCTGCTACAGTTACAAATAATCAAGCTATTAAATGTGTTCAGTACTGGGAACAAGATGCAATATATCAAATGTCCATATTTTCATACTCCGCACACACACATATATATAAATACATATACACATATAATGCCCTCTTTTACTTCATGTTTTGTCCTTATGTATGATCGTAATCATTAACACAACCTAATCATCGTTAATTCACAATACGAGGAGCTAATGAGCCAAGTCTCATTGAGGGTCCTCTTAAGTTTCTGGACTACTCCTGAGGGTCCTCTTAAGTTGCCTGGACTACTCCTGAAACTCTTCCCAGGGCATGGTTTTTTAGGTCAGTTCTGGAAAAAAAGGACTAGCTGCTTTTAGGAAAAAGCATTAATCATGGAGCCTATCAATGTTTGTCTGGACTCAAATACCCATTTTAAAAAGCATGTTGCTTCAATGTTTGTCCTAGTATGGAGTGTCTCCATTGCAGCTCTAATGATGGTCTTAATTTAGTCAAGTTTTCAGATGATTTAATACTGTTAGGAAAACTTTTTGAATTATTTAACTACAGAAGTGACTATTAAAGTCTATTGAGATTTTTGTGGATAAATAATTTGGAAAGCTTTTACAACAGTATTGAATCATTTGAAATTCTTATTACATTGAGGCCTTTGTCTCATATTCTCTATGCTTTGCCACTCCACTGAAGTCAACTGAGCTCCCACCAACTGTTTCTGACTTATCTAGGCAATTTTGACTTGGTAATCTAATTGTCCTTTGTTTTAATACGGACATAATTCTTCTCTGAGATACTAACAAAAGTTAAGTAAAATATGTGAACACATGTACAATGGTCACCAAGATTGTACCTATCTTTTGGAAATCCCTCCCCTGGACTACCTGACTTGGGGGTTCAAGATTTGGTTTTTGATAGTCTCTGATTGAACTGTAAATAATATTTTATTTTTGCTACTGGACAATACTTTGAACGGTTCTAAACTTGTGTAGTAGTTTAACAGTCAAACTATTCCATGAATTACCATCTACACCTTACACTACATCATGAAGATAAGGGATGAAATCTCTATTATATTGCTAAATCAAACGCCTACATAAACATTGTAATATACACATGCATCGTTACATAAAAATAGCAGGTGAATACTGGACACTAACTATTACACCGGGACATAGATTTTAAAAGTATTCAATACCTAAAGGATAGAATTGGTTGACCAATGCCACTTGTGAGTAGAGTTGGTACTTGAAAATAACTTTATGCTGGCTTTTTTGTGGACCCATGAATATCAAATGAGCTCACAATCTCATCCAAAATGGTATTCTCAATTTACCCTTACTCTGGATATATTGTAATCAGTAGAGTATATTTAAGTAACATATAATCAGAACAATGGTGTTATGTTCGTGAGTACATTCTGCCATCTGTGTGAAGGAGTAGAATTTGCCACCATTTTGCCAACTCGTTTGTTTGAATAAAGTAAATGTATAAAAGATGTTAGTGACATAGAGAGATAAAAAATATTCTAGAATTAGTCGTGGCGATGCATGCAACAATATAAAATAGGATAAAAATATGCAAAGGCAACTGAAAAGATTGAAAAAAGCATGCCTCTCTCGATTTAACCTCCATATTTCATATATCACACAGCACTCCAGCACTTCATATATATGCACAGCACTCCTCTCCTGACGGTCATTTACTGTAGCATGGCCAAGCGTCAGTACCTCCGCAGCCTGGGGCAGAAGGAGAGGGCGCTCGAGTGAGCTCTGATCCAGATCCGCATTTCCTGTATAGCTCCCTCGCGTGCCCTGTAGAGGTCCTGGGAGATGGAATATGACTTCATATTCCATCTCCCAGGACCTCTACAGGGTGCGCGAGGGAGCTATACAGGAAATGCGGATCTGGGTCAGAGCTCACTCAGAGGAGCACTGCATCAGCCCACTGGACCCCAGGCTGTGGATCCACTTCAGGTCTCCAAAAGATAGGGAGACTGGGTGGATCAAAAAAAAGTGTGTGTGTGTGTTACAATACTGCCCCTGTTCCCTTACCCCTACAATTCTTCCCTACCCCCCATACTGTTCCTGTCCCACCAGTACCCCACAATGCTGCCCTTATCCCTCTTTCCCCCGCAAAAGCCCCAGTCCCCCATAATGCTGGCCTGTCCCTCAAAACTGTTCCAATCCCCCCCAACCATAGCCCCATTCCCCCCACAATGCTGCTCTACCTCCCACAATACTGCTCCTGCCCCCACTGCTCCTGCCCCCCTTACTTTTCCTAACCCCCAACATAGCCACAGTCCCCCACAATACTGCCCCTGCCCCCCCACTTAAGCTCCAAACCCCACAATACTGTTCCGATCCCCCCACCATAGCTCCCGATCCCTCATTACTGTTCCTATATCCCACCCACCAAAGACTCAATCCCCCACAATACTGTTCCTATCCCTTTACTAATGCCCCTGTCCCACACAATACTGTCCATATCCCACCACTCTAAAGCCCCATTCCCCACAATACTGTTCCTAACCCTACCACTAACGCCCCCATCCCCTATAATACAGAATCAATCTGCGACAATGCAGCCCCTGCCCCCATCACAATAAGGCTCCAATCCCCCACAATACTGCCCCTATTCCCCTCTCGCTAAAGTCCCTATCCCCCCACAATACTGCCTCTATTCCCCAATACTACTCCTATCTCCCCTTGACTAAAGCCCTAATCCCACACACACACAGTACTAAAGCCCTATTGTACAGCGCTACAGAATTTATTGGCGCTATAATAATAATAAAGTCCCTATCCCACACAATTCTGTTCCTATCCCCCACACTAAAGCACAGTGACACAGAAAGGGGCTGGTGGGTAATTAAGAGACACAGGGGGTGTATGACACTAAAGGGGGATATAATAAACTAAAGGGGGTGTAACACACACAGGGATAACACATTTAAGAAGGGATATGTAACACTAAAGGGGGTAAGAAATTCAAAAGTTGGGTTACGAGGCACACAGGTAAAAATATATTTATTTTGGGGGCGGGAGGTGGGGCGGAAAAATACATATTCGCCTCTTTGCACCGGCCCTGGCTCTCAGTATCATCATGATGTGCTAAAATTGAAGGACTTAAATAAGGAAGTGCTTCTAGCAGTTGTAGATCTGACTAGAGGCATGGTTTAAGCAAAATGTAAAACAATTGCTGTTACTCTAGAATGGCAGTATTTTATATTAACAGAAAAAGGGGACATGGTATATGCACCAAAACCACTTCATAAAGATATTTCCCCCCTTTTGTTTGTTAAATGTAGAAAACGTAGCTTCTTTAGTTGTTTGTTTACTCTGTATGCATATATCCTTTTTATGCATACGGACACAAATCATTTTGCAACGTAACACTATTATATGGTTCTGTTGAATAGAGTAATGCTTTATAGATAAACGACAATGAAAAAACTAACTAATAATAATAATGGATTTTTTGACATTTTAAGAATCCAAAAAAAATGTGATTAGTTTATTGTTATAGACATAAATCTTAAAATACAGCTGACAAAATTCAGGTTTAGTTTTTCTGACTTGTGCTTGTTTTTAATAGATATTATATACACCAAAAGTCTAAAATACTTTTTTTTTCCTAGAAAACAAAAACTGTTTGTGTGTGTTTGCCTATTGCATTTCATAAATATACTAACTTATTAAGTTCCCATATTGAAATGTTGCAACTACGAGCCATTGTTCAGTGAGACGGCTGTCTCATGAATTATTTTCTCTCATTGTTTGTGCATATGTCTTTTTCATTTGTCATCAGTGTTGGCACTAACTGTCTTGTGGAGACCATGTTCATGGAACCGTTACTTCTGAGGCAGATGCTAAGAACACTATGTAACAGTAAAAAAATGCATTATTGCTCTGAAAGCATTGTTTCCCAATCCTCATAGAGAATTTTGACCTTTCTGTCTACCTCTCGGCAAGATTATCTGGACACATACAAGAGAGGAACAGCAGGAACTGAATTCTTATATGTCTGCTTTTTTATTGTTTGTCAGAAATAAACGGCAGGCCTTTTTTTTTTGTTTGTTTTTTTTCCAATGGCTTGGATATGTGTGTGTCTTTTTTTTTTTCTTCGTTTTCCTACAGGCCTTTTTTTTTTAACAACTTTTTCTATACTTTTGTTAGAAACAGCAGGAGGTCACCTATTCAGGGTCCTCTTATAATGTGGAAATTAGGATGCTAAACATTGACAGTGGCCTCCTGAATCCTCAATGCACATTTTTGTTTTCGAGACACACGCATTTGATGAATCACAAAAGAAGACCCCGTGACAACTGCAAAAGATTGACCTTGGGCATTTTGAACCTACAGATAAAAGTTAAAATAATCCAATGTTTTCTTTAAAAAAATACATGATGGTATTTCTTTAACATAAGAATGCAGAAGCACAAATTGAACATTTTTTTTTATATATAAGCTGTGATGCATAGACGCCCCCATCACCCCAATGCTAAATCCATAAGCCATGCCTGGTTTAACACAAATTGCATGCTCAGAATTCATAAGAATTTCTTGCGGACAGGAAACTATTTATCCTCATTTCTTTTGGAAAGGTTGGCATATTGTTGTTATATTCTGACTGTACAGCATGACTAGTCACAATGGATTGGTCTGCTCTACTCAACCTTTGTCCAATGTGGGTTTTAGCAATAGAATGCACCGTGCTATATCAAAATAAATTACAACTGCGCTTACAATGATGAGGGCCACATCTGTAAAGCAACGTCCAATCTGGAGCTCTGATTACTGTGCTCAGTTGACTGTATTATACGCAATCTTCTGTATTACTCTGTCTTCGGGGGTTATGCTGTGTTTTCAAAAAATATATTTTTATTCTATACACTGCATGCGTCTAAATAGAAAATTAAACGTACTGTATGTGCATGGTGTAAGAATCTGATATACCTTGCAGAATTTGAGATACAAGCATGTCACCGAATTTTAATTAATAAGAGCACACAGTTGAATAGACAGAGATTGCGCGTCAGAACTTACGGAAAGGGTTAATACATAAAGCGTTAAAAGCATCTTTTATTTTTTGGTAACATGCAAAAAAAAAAAAAAAAGAAAGAATAAATAATAGCCTAACATTTTAATAAATAATCACATTCATTTGGCTCAACAAGGATTAGTTATTCAATTAGAATTAACTTTGTTACTAGGAAATGGACCTATCAAGTATACAATTATTGGATGTGGGCTCATTTTTTCAGTCACCTGGAAACTAATTAGCAAGATATAATCACATACTTGCTGTCTGGTAAACATACAAGTCCCCAAGGACTGAATGACTTGAGTTGTGAATCGCTAGCCACTGCTTATATGTAATTATCATATAAATGAAGTGCTTTGCATTGTGTTCTGATACCCTAATTCTCATCAGAGGCAATGATATGACACCAACTATGAATAATTGCGAGATTGCAATTTTATGAATGTTAAATGAATCCAAAAACTAGCATTCTTACGTAAAAAAGAAAAGGGTTAAAGATCTAGTAATTGTGATTTTTCCAAATCTTATAAAACTTAAAGTTGTATAAAGAACACTTTTTTTCTCCTAAGCCACAAAACAGAGTTGCACAGTAAACATGCATAACGACAATAATACAGGCTATAGACAAAGCAACGCCTAGGGAAATGTACTTTGCTTTCGTGATAATCGGAATTAAATAACTATCTTCAACTTAGCTTCAGCAAAATAGGGCTACTAATTGCATTTGTCAATAATGTTTCCCTTCACTCAATAGACTGAGCACAAATTAGGTGAACTTATAGAAGCGGAAAAAATTGAAAACGTCACAAAGGATTTTCGATGTCACAGTGCTTCCCAAACTGGCAAATGCAAACATTTACATCGCAAGTCTCTAACGGAATGTATAACTAAAAAGAGCCAGAAAAGTAATCAAACAGAAAACAGCAACTGCGATTCACATACCTTTTGTGACTCGGAAAATTTGTGCATCTTCTGTTAAAAAGATGAGTTCCAAAACGAGAATTAAAAATCCAACGTGCTACTGAGTTGCTGATGCACTCGTTTATTTCTCTTAGTGTACAAACTACTGGGCAGTAAACCTAACAACCCAGTTTAAACACTGTTTCTCACACAGCAGATTACTTAACTGTTAGAGAGGAGTAGTTTGATAAGGTGTGGCTGCCTTACAAAAGGCATCGCTGAATTACAAACAGAATTACTTGTCAAACAACAACAAAGTTGTCAATAGCTTTGCAGCTTTTAGCTTTGTAAAAGGTTTTATAGCCAGGCTTTTTTTGAATAGATGTCACAGAGTCGATGACGATTTCTTCCTTGTTCTGTGATTACGTAGTTTCCAAAATTGTTGATCTTTTCTGACAGTTAGCATGCAAACGCAACACTAAAAACTATAAGAGAAGACTGCAATAAAACCAGCAGTCATGAAAAAAATAATTCTGCTAGAAATTTTTTTTTAGTCATTCACCTTCTGATTTTTATGCTATTTAAAAAAAAATAAAAAAAAATATATATATATATATATATATATATTTTGGTTAAAACAAAATTTCATCTAGTGAACTAAATTTATGTTTTTACAATTTTATGTAGTTTTACTTTGTGAATTACATTAATATATATATAGGTTTTTAAAAAAAAAATTAAATACATTTAAAAAAAATAATAATAAATATATTTTATATATAATTATAGTATATATATATATATATATATATATATATATATATATATATATATATATATATATATATATAATAAGGGCATAATACAAAATAAAAGCCTGATCGTGTTTCACTAATTGATCTATATAGATTATTTTTTGGAGTAATGAGATGAAATCAGGTGCAAAAAGGAAAAAGTAGACAGATAACACAGATTAATGTTGGGGAAGATGTGCTCATAATTACCAGAAAAGGACATGAAAGAGATTTATATTGAATAGTATTAGAATATTAGGAGCCCCATATCCATTTTATTAAAGTAAAAGCTTTTTTGCTCACTTGCCAAAGTCATGGCAAACTTCATTGGTGAATTCTATACCAGCAATGTCCCTTGCTGTTCTGAGCTAAAAGGCAAAATCTGTAAGATTCAGGGATAGTAGACAAACAGATAGAATGACAGACTCCATGGTTAAGTGAAGTTTAGAATATTATTTCCTATCTCGAGTCTAAATCATTCTGACCCTAGATGCAATCGTTGGAATTGCACTACACAAACATATGGGGAGTGCAGCCTTTAAAAATGTTGTGAATCCTTAAATTGCCCTTAAAGATGACTGAACACCACAAAATTTCAGTTAACTTTATTTATGGGTGCCCGGTACCTAACCTTACTCTTACATCGCACACAGGAACACTGACAAACATACATACTGACATTGTACACACAGGAACACTGATAAACACATGCACTGACATTGTACACACAGCAACACTGATATACACATGCACTGACATTGCACACACAAGAACATTGACATACACGTGCACTGACATTGTACACACAAGAACACTGACATACATGTGCAGTGACATTGTACACACAGGAACACACATATACATATTGTGAGCGTAAAAGTGGAATTGTGGTTGATGGAAGATACATCAGGCCTGATTTGCTAAACAGCAACCTGAGAATTTTCAGTTAAACCCAGGGAGAGATGTTAAAGTTTGCAATCTACATTGCTGATGTTCTGAAAAACATGGTATGGGTCCCTGGGGCGGAGTATTTGGAGAGCAGGGTGAGCCAATGCTCCAACAGCACTAGTTGCTGTGTAACAGACCACAATTTGGATCTGACTTAAGGGTTTACTAATTGGCACTCACCTGTAGCTAGTCAGTTAGCAGACAGGCCTTTAAAAGAAGAGATCAGCCTGCTGCAGAGTGAGGGAGACAAAGCCAGCTAGGAGAGCGAACAACACTTGTGTTTATTGCAAAGCCATTTCTTTTTTTTTGGAAAATTGGTAAGTGGGAAAGCCACCCAATTACAGATAGTAATTTCTGTCTAGTAAGAGCTCAAGTAAGAGCAAGGGATTTTGTTTGTTTGTTATTATTTAAAGCACCTGCTTTTTATCAAATAAAAAGGAAAACTGAGCTGAATGTATCCTGGACTTTGTATACCCTAGAAGGCTGTGGTTACTGTAAGATCTGTGACAATCCTACCGGTAAAAGAGGTGGTTTGTTACAATATGTACTGACATTACACAAACAGAAACAATGATATATATATATTGACATTGTACACACAGGAACACTGATATACACACATAATGACATTGTATACACAAAGGAACACTGATATACACACTCACATTGCACAAACGTAAACACTTATATCATACACACAAACAGACATTGCACACATAGGAACAATGATATACACGTATTGACATTGCACACACAAGAACACTAATATACACATGTACTGACATTGCACAAAAAGAAACACTGATATATATACACATACTGACATTTCACTCACAGGAACACTGATATATACACATTTGCTGATACTGTGCATGAAGGAACACCAACACCAACTATTATTGACATTGCATGTAAACAGGGACACCCTAATATTGCACATACACACACAAGAACACCAACATTTACACATACTTATATTGCAGATCCCTGAACATATGTACAGGTACATGCTGATGATTTTGGTTGGGAATCAGTTCTAAGTCTCACACGGCACTTGAAAGTCTAATCTGGCCTTGACGATAAACATTTCAGTGTATTATGTTGATGTGTTGATCCTTTCAACATGAATTCAACTATGGTATGGTGAGCTTCACATTATTAAATAGGTCGGGGATCCGATTTTCCCTGACACGTTAGCTACTTATATTACCACGAGGATGCCCTGCCTACTGGCACATATTGTTACAAATTGTGTTTTTCCATCCTCTGCCTACTTTACAATTTTCCATTTCATTGGCACATGGTGCTGCTTAAGAATAATTAAAAAAGACATACCCTTACCGTACCTCTGGCCTTGTAGACTTGTAGCGCTATATGTACGAGCATCGAACTGTTTTACCATAAATTTACCTAAAGCTATAAAACTTGAAAAAGTAAATCATTTAGTTAAACTAAGTGAACATACTCAAACACAGCCGATCAGCTAGGCTTTCTATTCAACATATGAAAACAAATATACTAAAATAAGGTAAAGAAATACCAGCCTTAGTTTGGTAAATAAAAAAGTTGCCTGACCCACCAGCAGCTATAAAATAATCAATTTTAAATATATATCTAGTAAGATAGCAGTAGACACAAACATGTGTCATTGACATTATTACATTCATTTTCCCCATTTATTTAAAAATTTAGCTGCCCAATGACTGTTAATAAGATCACAAATGGCACAACGCCCACTTCTTGCCAGTGATCCTAATAACTTATTATACACATCATGAAGGAAGATATAAAAAAAAACCATTATGACAATCTCTCCAATGTAAGAAATGCTAATATGCATCATCTACATATTGAAAATCAGGTTAAAAATAGACTTTGCATATTCCAATTAGAAGACTGATCTTTATACCACATTCCTAGAATTCCATTTGACTTACATGCAAATTAACACACAGTGTGCTACTTTGAAAAAAATACATATTTTTTTGCTTCTTGTATACAGTTTTAATAGGAATCCATGGTTTGAAATTCTTATTCCATGTAGGGTTATCACTAAATTGGATAATGTGGAGAAATGTCTAGGGAATTGTATAATTTAGATCAAAATAGCTGTACTAGAAAAAATGGTATGGACAATGTTTCATGTTCAGTTATCTTGCTTCCAACTGATTCCAATCAAGCTATTTTGGCTTAGAATTGTAATTTCCTGGTCTTGCCCTTCCCAGGTTTGGTAAATAATGCTGATAGTCTATACATTATATAAGATCAATATAGTCTATCAACAGACACCTGCTTTGATCTATGTCATTCATCTTCATTCACATAAGATTTTGCCAAGCATGCAGTAAAAGTATTATGAATAAAGAAAGTGATTGAATGCGAGGAACATGTTCAAAACAGTAATTTAAAGGAACAATACAAGTACCATAACAACTACATTAACTGAAGGAGCTGACCATTCTAGCCAATGAGCAGTGCCCCTGCCCGTTGGTACTCTGTGCTTCCAAATGCCTCTGGTGAAAGGATGATCCTGTGTTAAGAAAGCACCAGGGACCTCCTGACACCATAACAACTTCATTTCAGTGACGTTGTAATGGTGTTTAAACTGGTCTTTTAAGGAATGATGGCCTCAATTCAATCATTTTAGATAAACTTTTTCTAATGCAAACATCCCCATAGACTTTAATGGTGACTTCTATAATTAAAAGATTTGGAAAGTCTTTCTAACAGTATTGAATCATTTGGAAAGTTTATTAAAGTGAGTAAAAATATGCATAATATGCAAATTAGTAGACTTGTGCACAGTGAAAAAATTCCGAACAACCGAATCAATTTATCCAAAACAAAAAATTTTGGGGGGTTTTGTCCATGTGGCATTGTAGTTTCAACAAATTTCATATATATATATATATATATACTGTACGGCTCAAAAGTTTGCATACCCTGGCAGAAATTGTGAAATTTTGGCATTGGTTTTGAAAATATGACTGATCATGCAAAAAATGTATTTTATTATAGAATAGTGATAATAGGAAGACATTTCTTATCACATAGTTGTTTGGCTCATTTTTAAATCATAATAATAACATAAATCACCCAAATGTTCCTAATCAAAAGTTTACATACCCTTGAATGTTTGGCCTTGTTACAGACACACAAGGTAACACACATGGGTTAAAATGGCAATTAAAGGTTAAATTCACACACTCGTGGCTTTTTAAATTGCAATTAGTGTCTGTGTATAAATAGTCAATGAGTTTGTTAGCTCTCACGTTGATGCACTGGGCAGGCTAGAAACTGAGCCATGGGGAGCAGAAAAGTATCGTCAAAAGACCTGTGTAACAAGGTAATGGAACTTTATAAAGATGGAAAGGGATATGAAAAGATATCCAAAGCCTTAAAAAATGGCAGTCAGTACTGTTCAAACATTAATTAAGAGGAGGAAAATTTGGGCATCTCTGCATACAAGCCAGTGTCAGGTAGACCAAGAAAGATTTAAGCCACAACTGCCAGAAGAATTGTTTGGGATACAAAGAAAAGCCCACAGGTAACCTCAGGAGAAAAACAGGCTGCTCTGGAAAAAGATAGTGTGGTTGTTTCAAAGAGCACAATACGACGATACTTGAACAAAACTAAGCTGCAAGGTTGAGTTGCCAGAGAGAAGCCTTTACTTTTACTGCACCAATGCCACAAAAAAAGCCTGGTTACAATATGCCCGAGAACACCTTGACATGCCTCACAGTTTCTGGCACACTGAAAATTGGACTGACAAGACCAAAATAGAGCTTTATGGTCACAACCATAATCACTATGTTTGGAGAGGGATCAACAAGGCCTATAGTGAAAAGGATGCCACCCCTACTGTGAAGCATGGTGGTGGCTCACTGATGTTTTGGGGGGGTGAAAACTCTAAAGGCATGGGGAATCTTGTGAAAATTGATGGCAAGATGAATGCAGCATGCTATCAGAAAATACTGGCAGAAAATTTGCATTCTTCTGCATGAAGGCTGCGCATGGGACGCTCTTGGACTTTTCAGCATGACAATAACCCTAAGCACAAGGCCAAGTTGACCCTTCACAGTCTCGGACCTTAATATCATCGAGCCACTCAGGGGAGCTCATGCAAGATGACCAAAAACTTTGCATGACCTGGAGGCATGTGGCCAAGACAATTGGGCAGCTTAACCACCTGCAAGATTTAGGGGCCTCATAGACAACTATTACAAAAGACTGCACGCTGTCATTAATGCTAAAGGGGGTAATACACAGTATTAAGAACTAAGGTTATGCAGACTTTGGAACAGGGGTCATTTCATTTTTTTTTCTTTCTTGCCCCTATTATTTTAATAGTGTGACGGATTACTTTTTATATGAAGCATTGATTTATGTATACCTTTAGCGTGCACTACCTGATTATTCAACAATACTATTTATATGTTCTGTACATTTTTTTAAAATATATTTTATCTTTTTATTTTTAATTTCTTTTTGGTGTATCTATTCTTTATTTTTAGTTTTATTTTAATATACATTTATAATATAAACACACATATGAAGCTCCTTTTTCATGACCATACGGAGTTAATCCCTTTAAGCTATCAGGTGATTAATGGTTAAACTTGCAGTCTGGCTTCTAGATTCAAGCCAGGTTTTTCTAATACCTCTTAAGAGATAGGTATGTAAGGTAGAGGATTCAAGCAAGGCTTTTCTAATACCTCTTAAGAGATAGGTATGTAAGGTAGAGGTTACTCTGGTTATAGAAGCCATAAGCTTTCCTAAAGACATGGGTTTTAAGGCACTTTTTAACGATTGAAGACTAGGGGAGAGTCTGTATAAGACAGTGGATTTATATAAGACTAGGGGAGAGTCTATATAAGACAGTGGATTTATTTTTTAAGCAGTCTTGATAAAGTTCCGTGAGAGGAACGAAACACGTAGATGTGTTAGCGGTGTTTGCTCCTCCCTTATACCCTTTTATCTAGGTTGGTGTGCCGCGCTGAGTTGTGCTGAACTGTGCCGTGCCGAGCAGCGGTCTTTTGTGAAGATACCGACCACGGCATCGATTTCAGCTGTCATTCTATCTTGTGTCCCTTATAACTGAGTTTGGCGTGAACCAACATTTCGTAGCCACTCAGGCTTCAGTGACTGTTATATCCATTTACTGCAATGTTTAGCAGCTACCATAACTAACACTATCTGGATTTACATCTCAGGTGGGGGCCCACACTGAGGTCAGGTACTGATTTCTTATTGTTTCAGTTCCGTTGTATCGATCCGGGACTTTACTTTCTCGGCACACTTCCTTTTGCATATTATCATTTTTTTCATTTTCTCTCTCCCCTTGCTTTGTGTCTTCCTTAACACACATCTTCAACTGCTCTCTCTCTTCTGGCATTGTCCCTGCTGACCTTAAACATGCCAATGTAGTACCTATACTGAAAGAAATATCTCTTGACCCGTCCTCCCCCTCTAACTATCGTCCCATATCCCTGCTCCCTTTTTCCTCAAAATTTCTAGAAAGACGTGTCTGTAGCGTTACTTACCTTAACCGGGGGCCGGTCGCGGTCCTCTCTTCAAGCCGCGCGCGGTCCTGCGGCTGCACGAGCCGTGCGCGGCTCATCCGACTGCTTTAGATGGAAGGCGGGCAGTGACCGCGTGAAGCGGTCACGTGTCCCGCCTGAAACTAAGAGCGCGCCGTGAGTCTCGGGCGCGCTCTTAAAGAGACAGTGGGAGCCTAATTGCCAAAAGGCTCCCATTGGCTCCTGTCATACCACACTCCCTATACAATTACCTTTTGGGGGTGTGGAAGTGACAGGAGCCAATCACTTTCGTTTAAAAGCTATTTAAACTTACCTTTTTCCCTTAGCTCGTTGCCCTATCGTGGTTTCTGTTTCAGTTCCCTTTAGCGCTTGTGGTGTTCAGTTGTGTTTTCTCGTATTGACTTTGGCTTCGTATTCTGACTTCGTTTTCGCTTTATCCTTATCTGTACTGTTTGCCGGCTTGCTGTTTTCCGTGTACCAGACCCCGGCTTGTCCTAGTTTACGCTGTCTCTCTGTGCCCTTGACCTCGGTTTGTTCCTGGCTCTGTCTCCTCTCATATACGTCGAGTCCGGCCATTCTAAGGTCCGGTAGACGTATCTCTCCTCTGTATTGGCTTCTGTTTTGCTGGATCCTGCGTGTAGGGGTATATTCTCGTTACAGTGTCTTTGCCCGTGTGTCTCGCTTCCTCAATTCCAACTCTCTCCTTGACCCTCTTCAGTCTGGCTTCCACCCTCTCCACTCTACTGAGACTTCTCTCATTGAAGTTACTAACGACCTAATTGCAGATAAATCCAAAGGACACTACTCCATACTAATTCTTCTTGACCTCTCTGACACCGTTGATCATGCTCTCCTTCTTCAAACTCTTCAATCACTTGGTCTCTGAGACTCTGTCCTCTTGTGGTTTTCCTCTTATCTCTCCAAACACTCATTCAGTGTCTTCCTTTCTAATGATACCTCCTCCCCTCGTCCTGTCTCAGTTGTAGTCCCCCAAGGCTCTGTCCTTGGTCCCCTTCTATTTTCTCTTTATACTGCCTCTCTTTGCAAACGTATTGCCTCTTTTGGATTTCACTACCACCTGTATGCTGATGACACTCAGATATATCTCTCCTCCCCAGACCTCTCCCCTGCCGTCCTGCAACGCATCACTGCTTGCCTTTCTTCCATCTCTGACTGTATGTCCTCCCGTTTTCTGAAACTCAATCTCTCTAAAACTGAACTCCTTGTCTTTCTTCCTCCTAATACTGATCCTCCTCTCTCTCTCCCTTCAAGTTAGTGGTATCCACATAAGTCCATCCTTGCAAGCACGCTGTCTTGGCGTCATACTTGACTCTGGCCTCACCTTTTAGCCTCACATCCAGTATGTTGCCAAATCCTGTAGATTCCAACTTAAAAACATAGCCTGCATCTGCCCCTGTCTTACGAAAGATGCTACCAAGGAGCTTGTCCATGCTATAGTAATTTTCTGCATGGATTATTGTAACCCTCTCCTGATTGGTCTTCCCAAAAGCCGCATTGCCCCGCTATAGTCTGTAATGAATGCTGCCGCCAGACTGATTTTCCTCTCTATCCTTTCACACCTCACCCCTCTGTCAGTCCTTACATTGGCTTCCTGTATCCTATAGGAGTCAATTCAAAGTGCTAACCCATACATACAAAGCACTGAACAATTCTAGCCCCTCTGATATATCTTCACAGATCCATAGGTATGCCCCTTCTTGGTCTCTCCGCTCTGTCCGTGACCTTCTTCTGTCCACTGCTCGCACCCGTATGGCCAACTTGCGCTTGCAGGACTTCTCGCAAGCGGCTCCCTTCCTATGGAATAGCCTGTCTACCCCCATCAGACTCTCCCCTTGTCTTCAATCATTTAAAAAGTGCCTTAAAACCCATGTCTTTAGGAAAGCTTATGGCCAATCAGTGTAACCTCTACCTTACATACCTATCTCTTGCTCTCTCCTAAAAGGGCAGCACATATATATGAATATATCGGTTACCAAGGTTTTCCCCCATTTTTTACTTTTTGTATTAGGGGCCTCATAGACCACTGTTACAAAAGACTGCACGCTGTCATTAATGGTAAAGGGGGCAATGCACAGTATTAAGTACCAAGGGTATGCAGACTTTTGAACAGGCATCATTTTATTTTTTTCTTTGTTGCCATGTTTTGTTTTATGATTGTGCCATTCTGTTGTAACCTACAGCTTAATATGAATCCCATAAGAAATAAAAGAAATGTGTTTTGCCTACTCATTCATGTTTTCTTTAAAAATGGTACATATATTACCAATTCTCCAAGAGCATGCAAACCTTTGAGCACAACTGTATATTTATTTTAATATTTATTTACAGCTTGTTTCCCCCCCTCAATTAGTCACTTCTTGCTTGATCTGTGTATAAAATAAACACTTAATGACTGTCAATCACATTCCCACCCACCCACCCATCAATTATCTTGTTTTTGGTGCTAGAGATGAAATCAACAGATGAACTCAGTCAAGAATTTGCAGATGAACCACCAATCGCCCATAATTCGGGCAAATCCCAATTTGTTTGAGACTGAATGCACAAGTCGACAAATTAGCATTTATAGTATTTTACTCAAACATTCCAACTGGCATTGTTACTGGTTTCCTAAGCAGCATCCCAGCTCTTACACAGTTGTTTAAAGGTATGCTCCAGGATGCAATAAACCTCCAGTTTTAATGCATAAAGGCAATGGACTAAAATGAACAATAACAAGTATTCAGCTTTAAAGCTCCTCTGAAACATACACTTACACACACACACACACACACACACACAGAGACACAACTTCCCACTGACATACACAGAGACACACAGCCACAGAGAAGCACACACATTTACAGGTTATCAGAGATACTATGATCGGAGAGATTCACATTGACTGTTTAAAACAAACTGAAAAATACTGCCTATTGTGATACATAGTCAAATTATTATTCATTTTAATGGATATACTTTGCGATCAAAGGATTTTAAAAAGATCAACAAATAAAAACATAAGTGAATGCATGTTAAAAAAAATGTAGTGCATTTTTCGTTCGGAAAGAGGAACGTTAGAGAACGAATGCTAACCTCAATATTTATGGCACAGTAGCTCGGAAAGGAAGCATACTAAATTACTTTCCACATTGTAACCACTTCAGTTTCAGGAAAATTAGCTTTTTAATTTGATGATACGTCTTCAAATCCATGCAAAGCTATTTTCATGTGGATGTTTTGAAAACCAGGCAGATTAAGTAGAAATCCACACTAATCTGCAGGAGGGAATTTTCCTCGGGCTATATAATTGCAGGATAACTTGTATCATGAATAAAATTATGTAATTTGAATCAAATAATAAATATTTCTGTGACATATTGGAAGGAAGGTCTATTAGGAGACATTAATCATATTCACTGAGCAGCAGCATTGCAGCAGCCAGCATATTAAAAAGCAAGACAATACAAAACTCTAAATGTCAAAAGAGGGAGAAAGCATACACCACATGGGTACAGAATAAAAGTGATTAAAAGTGATAAAAGTTAACTAAAGTTGTTCACCACTGAGGTAAAATCATCACTCTCCCACAGTAATTTCACAGAAGGTAGTAGGCTTTTTACACCTCATGAATGAGCATAGTGTAACCACAACCACTAAATCATGCTGTAGTGGCTATGGTGCCAAGAGTCCTTTATTGTCAGGAGTAAAACCATTGTAGAATGGTTCTTACCAAGTTCGGCTAAGCGCTGCTTCCTGCCTCTCCTACCTATCCAGATAGCTCTGCCTAGGAGTTTTGTTAGATCTGAGTTAGTCCCTGCACCCCTGGGCTAAGTTCATACAGAGAGCTTCCATTTTAAGTCTGTTGACTACTTATAATGGAACAGGGCAGCAGGTCACTCCAAGTACAATAACTACTACAGTGTCTTGTAGTGGTTATAGAGCTTAGAATGCTCTTTTTTCACTCTCAACGTACAAGCAGTAGAAAGAGGGAAGTGCTCATGCCATTGTACAGAACACTGGTGAGACCTCACTTGGAGTATTGTACACAGTACTGGAGACCGGCTACTAAACTGGTTCATGGATTGCGGGATAAAACTTACCAGGAAAGGTTAAAGGATCTTAACATGTATAGCTTGGAGGAAAGACGAGACAGGGGGGATATGATAGAAACATTTAAATATATAAAGGGAATCAACACCGTAAAGGAGGAGACTATATATTTAAAAGAAGAAAAACTACCACAACAAGAGGACATAGTCTTAAATTAGAGGGACAAAGGTTTAAAAATAATATCAGGAAGTATTACTTTACTGAGAGGGTAGTGGATACATGGAATAGCCTTCCAGCTGAAGTGGTAGAGGTTAACACAGTAGAGGAGTTTAAGCATGCGTGGGATAGGCATAAGGCTATCCTAACTATAAGATAAGACTAGGGACTAATGAAAGTATTTAGAAAATTGGGCAGACTAGATGGGCCGAATGGTTCTTATCTGCCGTCACATTCTTTGTTTCTATGTTTCTATGTACAAACAAAGTAAAAAAGTTCCATGTGCTCTACATCAAACTCTAGTACAGTGGTTTGAAGCACCACTATAGCTATTGTGAAAATGTAAGCTCATTTTACATTTTGTAATTTTTTATTTACATGGCAATCTTAGTTGAGTCCTGTACTAAATTACTCAAGCTACTCTCTCATAAGACTGAAATGGGCTTTATGAAAAAAGTAAAAATAAACTATAAACTAATTAACCAGGGTAGGGCTGACAAGCTAGCCAGGGGACAATTTCCCCAGGTCGCTAGCACCCAGGAGTTGAATGTCACAACCTCACAGCACAATTTAGACTTGGGTGGAGTTGCTGTGGTACTTAGAGTGGCTCATGAAAAGTAACACAATATTGGTGTCCAGAGTGAAAGGATATCATATAGCGTTAGGACTACAAATCTGTATTCCTAATCCTATAGTGTACCCTGTCCCTAACATATTGGGTTTGCCACACCTGTGATCATGAAGGGAGTAAACACCTTTTTTTTTCCCACTTACCGGCTTGGTTTCCTCCTCCGGTGACGTTAAGCCAGTAGGAGAACCTAATGCGCATGCATTATCAGTGCTTTCCTATGATAAGCTTGAAGACTTTAGACTTTCTCAAACAAAGTGTTAGGACATCCAACGTCGTTTTACGGAGTTAAACTCCTTTTGAGCCCAGGACGTGCCTTTAGGTTGTCTCAACCTGCGATGCAAACTTTAGGCACTTTACATAGCAGGGTTAAGGGGATGTGGGCACTTCAACCAGACCACTTCAATAGGATGAAGTGGTCTGGGTGCCTATAATGTACCTTTTAAGGATATTGATGAAATTAGGTTAGAAGAAAAAGTGGAAGAATGGCAGACTTTGGGTCATAGGAGTGACTGGATGTTATGGGAATTATATAAAATAGAGTCAAGGAGAAAAGTGAGGATATGAGACAAAAACTGAAAGGATATGGGGGAGAGAGTGAAGTTATATGAGAAAGGAGTGGGATCCCAATGACGGATAATGAGAGGTTACTAGTAAAATGGAATGGAGTGAGATAAGGAAAATTATATATAGGGGAATAAGAGAGTAATCAAATATGTGGATGTAATGGGAACACATTGTAATCTAAGTGACAAGAGAGATAGGAAACTAGGAAACAAAGTACAAGGAAACATGTGAGATGCATTGTGGGAAAAATGAAAGAATATATAGTGAAAGGAACGATAAATTATAAGGTGAAGGTGTGCCCGGCTACAGGGAGAGGAACGGGGAAATATGAAGCTTAGGAGTGGATTTAAAGCCTTATGTTGAACTTTTTTACATATAATATAGGTTTTCATGGGAATTCATTTGTCATATAGTAAAGGGGAATGGTAGCATACAGAACGGAAAGCCTGTCAAGGCCTTTTTGAATTATGAATGCTCAATGCTCCATGTCAGATTCACTATATACCATTTAGCATGAAATGACTCATAGAAAGTGCTTTAGCAGGAAAATAAAAGATTGCCTTTATGCACCTGAGCCTGAGATTATTGCAGCAGAGGTAGATTGTTAATCATTAAAATGTTACACAAGAACAGATGCCAAACACTGAAAATAGATTTAGATTCCGTAGCGTATCACAACATATAACGACATGTACGTCCAAAAGAAACACCCAGCAAATTGGCAGCAGAGGATCATTAAATGAAAAGTCGCTGATTCCTTTTGTTTTATTTTGATAACTATGGCCACTTGTCTCAGTCAGATTAATATCTGTTTGGATACCTCAAATGATAATTACTATATACTGTACTTAATCAACTGGCAGCATTCCTGAAAATGTTATAACTTGAAGGGACACTATACAAAATACAATGTTTACATTGCTGCCTAGGAACACCTTCAGTGGCAGTCACTTAGAAGGTCACTAGAGGTGCTTCCTAGGTCAGTGCTGCACAATGTGCAACAATGATGTTAAGTGCCTCCACGATATGCATGGAGACGCTGAACTTTCCTCATAGAGATGCATTGATTTAGTTAATTGCTATTATGAGATGCTGATTGGCCAGCATTGTGTTTGTCTCTGCCCCAAGCCCACTTGGCTTAGATCGTCAATTCTGATGATCTCAACCAAGGAGGCAGATCTGGGGAGGATCCATCACTGGCAGGCCCATACAGCAGTGAAATAAAGGTGTGTAGACTACCTTTTTTTTAAAGAAATACATGTTGGAAATATTAATCTTTTTTTGTTGAACTTTTTCATACATAGCTGGGATCAACTCATTATTGTATTATTGAGCAAAGCTCCCTTGCTCGTCTAGGAGAGGTAAAGCGAGCTATATATAGAGTGGTACAGATAGTGGGCTTTGCACCTTGGGTCTTATCATAGGTGCAATATGAATCTCGGATTACATAATGCATTTATGAGGTGGGGATTGAGCATATGTGCCTTCCATAGCTAGAGAAGTTAAACATAAATATCTAAGCCTATCTAGAAGGCTGGGTACAGTAGCCTAGAGTGCAGGTAATTGCTCGTGCATGTACAGTGTTGTTTACTTGCACATTGGAGTTAGGGTGGGGAAACAAATTAACAACGGGCCATAACAGTGGCTTACGGAGCCAGGTTATATACAGTGATTATTAATAAATAACCAAAGTAAACAAAAGTATACAATAGTAAACATGGCATCTTTAAATTGCATAATGTAGACACAATTGCCTGCCACCTCGAACTTCAGGAGGGTAGGGTGTGCATATCAAGCGTGCCCCTTGTGGGCACGAACAGGGTGCAATATTTCACAATGGGCAATCAGCTGCCAGAAAGTTCTCCGCTATGCCAAGGGCCTGGAAGAAAGTCGGTGCTTCCAAAAGATGCGCCATCTGATGTCTTGCCAGCCTTGTCAACTAGTAGCCGGCCCACTTCTAAGTTATGGAATGTTCCTATAGTCGTTGGCAAACTTGCTTGAAGGATCTTCGCTATACCAGGGTATGCCTAGAGAAGGCCCGAAAGAATGCTAGCTGTACCCCTTTGAACGCCACCATAGGAGAGCCTCTCACGGTCCTCATAAGTACTCCAAGGTCAGAGTCCCGCATTAGCTTCAGCAGAACATTCCTGGGTGCGTCTTGGGCTGTGCTGGGTGCCTTCGTGAGGCAAAAGCAGGAGTCAATGTTGTAACTGCGTTAAACATAGTTTTGATTTATGCCATTAAAGCCTTAATGTCTGCTTTGGTGGATGGGGCAGAGTCCCCCCAGTGCGGCAGGTGTCCGAGGTACCGTGCTTGCCTTAGGTGGAGAGAGGATATTGGCTTCATTACTATCATCATCAGAGGACATCGAGGTTTAGTCCTCAGTGGCTGCCATCTTGGTTGACTCTGTGTCACATATTCATCCGCTTATAGAAATGTGGTTAATGACATTTACTGTCCACACAGGAAAAGTTGTGCCGAGCAGCAACCTAATCCACAGAAGGGATAATGCTGAGCAGGGCCGGACTGGGGAAAAAATTCGGCCCGGGCATTTTTAATTACAGCGGCCCACTGAAAAGGGGGCGGGGCCAGATAGGGTGTGTTTTGTCATCCCCAATGACAAGCACGCCCCATCTCAAAGTGAGCATGTTGGTTCAATGCTCTTCCAGGACATGAGAAAAGGGCCCTGTATTTGATCTGCACAGCGCAAGCAAATTTAATAACATGCTTGCATTGTGTTTGCTTGAAACTTGTCTCAGGGGTTTCCATAATTGGAATACTCACTGTATCCCATTTATGGAGACACTATGTGTTTGCTTAAAGGATTTCTAGTGTGTTCATAGGGGATCTTGAGTGTGTATGTCAGAAATGTAGTGTGTGTGTGTAAGTGGTGCAGCGTCTGTGTGTAGGGGATCTAGTGTGTGTTTGAAGGACTCAGGAGTGCGTATAGGAGATCTAGTGAGTGTGTGACTGGTGCAGTGTGTTTGGGGGGTGCTGTGTGTGTGAGGGGTGTAGTGTGCATTTGTGAGGAGTATAGTGTGTGTGGGAGGGTGCAGTATGTGTGTGGGAGGGTGCTGTGTGTGAGGGCGCTGTGTGTGAGGGCACTGTGCGAGGGTTCTGTGTATTTGAGGGTGATGTGTATTTGAGGGTGATGTGTATTTGAGGGTGATGTGTGTGTGTGTGTGTGTTGGGGTGCTGTGTGTGTGTTGGGTTGCTGTGTGTGTGTTGGGTTGCTGTGTATGTGTTGGGGTGATGTGTGTGTGTGTGTGTGTGCTAGGTTTCTGTATGTGTTAGGGTGCTGTGTCAATGTTAGGATGCTGTGTCAATGTTAGGGTGCTGGTGTTAGGGTGCTGTGTGTGTGTGTGTGTTAGGGTGCTGTGTCAATGTTAGGGTGCTGGTGTTAGGGTGCTGTGTGTGTTTTAGGGTGCTGTGTGAGTGTTAGGGTGCTGTGTGTGTGTTAGGGTGCTGTGTCAATGTTAGGGTGCTGTGTGTGTGTTAGGGTGCTGGTGTTAGGGTGCTGGTGTTAGGGTGCTGTGTGTGTGTTAGGGTGCTGTGTCAATGTTAGGGTGCTGGTGTTAGGGTGCTGTGTATGTGTTAGGGTGCTGGGTGAGGGTGATGTGTGTGTTTGCCAGGATTTTGTATTGGGGGAGGCAGGTAAATGGCACTATTAATGTTTTACTAAAAAATAAAAATAAATACATAATAATAAATAATAAAAATAAATACATAATAAATACTAATAATAAATAATAAAAATAAATACAAACTAATAAATACTAATAATAAATACTAATAATAAATAATAAATACATACTAATAAATACTAATAATAAATACTAATAATAAATAATAAAAATAAATACATACTAATAAATACTAATAATAAATACTAATAATAAATAATAAATACATACTAATAAATACTAATAATAAATAATAAATACATACTAATAAATACTAATAATAAATAATAAAAATAAATACATACTAATAAATACTAATAATAAATACTAATAATAAATAATAAATACATACTAATAAATACTAATAATAAAGACTAATAATAAATAATAAAAATAAATACATACTAATAAATACTAATAAAAAATACTAATAATAAATACCAATAATGAATAATAAATACATACTAATAATAAATACTAATAATAAATACTAATAATAAATAATAAAAATAAATACATACTAAGAAATACTAATAATAAATAATAAAAATAAATACATTATATCCCCCCCCCCTCTATTCTTACCTGTAGTCTGGAAGGTGGGGGGGTCGTGCTGCTGCCAGCCATCCCTGGTGGTCCTCGTGGTTAGTGAACTCTAGCCCTTTGGGGCTAGAGTTCACTCTCGCGAGACCCGGCCGGTTGCCATAGCAACGGTCCGGATCTCGCGAGAGAAACCCGGCGGAGCTGCAAATTAGAGCTCCGCCGGGTCCTCTCTCCTGGCGGCTGGCTCCCCCCCTCTCTCCCCGCCGGCGGCCGCGTTTGAGCCCATGTGGGCCGGTGAGGGAGATCTTTGATCTCCCCACCGGCCCTCCATGGAAGACAGCGGGGCCGGCGCTCGGATAGCGCCGGCCCTGCATAGACCGGCAGGGGAGATCCTGTGATCTCCCCTGCCGGCCTCGGCCCATGGACACCGCGGCCCACCGGGCATTTGCCCGGTGTGCCCGATGGCCAGTCCGGGCCTGATGCTGAGCAGTAATTGTGCAAATGAAACCTGGTGTCATGTATTCATCCGCTTAGAGAAAAGTGATTAATGACATTTACTGTCCACACAGGAAAAGTTGTGCCGAGCAACAACCTAATCCACAGAAGGGTTAATGCTGAGCAGCAATTATGCAAATGAAACCTGGTAACTGACTTTGGGGTCAAAGGCCGGTTACAGCCTATCAGAACTAAAGGAGGGTATTTAGGCCCAGTTCTCAGCCTGCTCAGTGCCCTGTCGTGGTTTCCCTTGTGGTTGTCTGAGAGCGCGTTCCTGTTTATAGTTTTCTACCTGGTTTTTGACTTTGGCTTTGTTTATTGACTTCTCTATATTCTGGTATCCTGACTCCTGGCTTTCCTCATCGCTGTGTCCCTTTCCGTGTTCCCTGACCTCGGCTAGTATTTTTGACTATTCTTTGTACGTTAAATCCGGCCATTCTAAGGACCGGTAATACGTTACTTATTTGTCATCCGTGCTGTACAGTTCTACGTGCTGGATCAAACAGTAATCCTGACACTCTGGCCGTGGGTCGAGCGGAGGAGAACAAAGATATCTCAGGAGACCAGGCCCGGATCCGCTCGCTGCTTCTTGGACTTTTTCCCCATGACTTGGGTAGCTGGCTAGTGCCTTTGTATGCTCGATCACTGGGTTTAGCCATTGAGAACAGGGTAAGTGTACAGAGCTGCCTCAATGTGCGTCCAACTCGTGCAGGCGCTGGCTCCGCCCCCTGTAAACTACCTTTTTTAAAGGGACAAGAGGGGCTAGGAACCTGAAGAGTGTTTTGAACACTATAAAGTTAGGAATATATGTTTGTATTCCTGACCCTATATATATATATTTTTTTTAAATAACATACATTTTCCTGAATTGGGTAGTATTCATATACAACTTCTCTCTAAAAGAAGCATTTAATGAATGAATTAATTAACTTAATACTGAATTCAGTTCATAATGTCAGTATGAAATGTTTCCACTAATGTTAAAACGTAACTTTCAGTATTGTAGTATTAAAGGAGACTTTCAGTATTGTTTTTACCTATCCCTTTATTTAGCAAATAAATATGTGTGAGTTATAAAAATTCAAAACATATGTTAAAATCCACAACTTGTTATCTTGCCAATAGACTACTCCATCTTAGCTCCGTGTTAAAGAAGCACTATAATGTCAGGAATACTAACATGCATTCCTGACACTATAGTGCTGATCTGGCTGTTTAGGTGACTGGCTCCCCCTAAATGCAGTAAAACTGTGATTTTTCTCCCACCGGTCTCACCATGGCTGTCCTCGCTTGGCTCTGCCTCATGGCTAAGATCAGCAAAGTGCCCCAATCAGCATCTCCTCACACTATGCTGCACTGGACTAGGAAGCATTACTAGTGGCCATCTGAGTGCCACTAGAGCTGTTACTATGCACCAATGTAAACACTGCCTTTTTTATGAAATGTATGTATGTGTTTACAGTGCTAACACTGCAGGGACATGCTATAGAAAGGCACCATTACATACTTAAATGGGGGGGTTGGAACTTGTGACCTGCTCTGGTAGGCTTTTGATATAAATGTGTATACTGTGTGTCTAACCTTATCACTTTTTGATTTCATTTTATATGTTGTATTGGTGTATTATTATATTACTTTGTAAATAAAATTGCATTTATATTGACAGCAAATTAGTTTTTGCATTAAGTTGTTATAAGCTCTGTCTTTTGCACCTAGCAGTACGCGTAGCGAAAGTAGACAGAGGAAAGGAGAGATAAAACAATGTGACTGTTTCTCAGCTCCATTTGCAATGTTTACTCTGATGTAGCCTTGCCCAAACTGGATTGCGATGTAATTTGATTAATCATTAATACAAAAAAAATGAAGAATCACCTAAAAGAAAAGTTGACTTACAGATGATTTTCAGTGTTTTCTTCAATGTTGTAATTTTCACAAGATGGACGGTGCTAGGCTGGAAATCACAACCTGGTCTGGAAACCCTTATGCTGCCATGGACTTATGCACCAGACAAAGACGTTTCTGCTTTCCGTTGTCTCTATAACCAGCTGCTGGGAATACTCAATGAAGTCACAACACTCAGATGTAGTATCAAGAAGCATTCAAAGATTTAATGTGTAGTACATCGTGTATATATAAAATGCAGTTTGTCTAGTGGTGTATACATCAACGTCAACATTAACCAATCATGGAAGTCTCAGAACCGAAAGTTTTATTTTTCATTATAACATATTGTAATGCTGTTAGTCTCCTGTTCACTGATGCAAGTGACAGTCTTAGATTTAGGAACCCAATTAAAAAATTGCAGGTGCTATAAAGAATGCTATTTTTTTTTTTTTTCAAGTACAGGATGTTTAAAAAGATAGCGAAAGCTGATGTCAGGCGCAAGAACACAAGAACAGAAAAATATTGTTTGTTTAAAACAATGTGAGTTTAACCATTTCAAAGCATGAGTATGTTATATTATAATCAGGCCTACTGACCATTCGGTCTTTCAAGCTATGAATACAGTAATTCTTTAGCTATGTAATAAGGAATACAGAAGTAGAAAACAGGACATAAGACTGACACTCTTTAACATAAAATATATAGCTCTGTATGTCAAGGGGAATATTCACTAAGCATTGCATAGGCAGCTTCAACATGGATGCTGTCCAGGAGGTGGCAGGGTCTGGGAGGGAGGGTCTGCTGGAGATTGGCCGGGATGTGTCAGCTGACCGGAGTTCACCGCGAACGGTTCGTGGCGAACCGCGGCGAGCCGTTTGCGGAAGGTTCGTGAACGGTTCGCGACATCACTAGACTCTAGTAAATGCCACACAACCTGCCAGGTCAAAAGAAGCCAGTTGTGTATGTTCATTTTGGGAAATAGAAAAAATAGAGCGAGTTGATTTTAATAATGATTAATGACAATAGGAAACCGAGGGTGTGCTGAAATCCTGCTGAGGTATCCACAAACACTATAAACATGCAACTAAGAAATCAGTACTGCTCCAGTAGGTCTAATTAAATAGAACTTTTAATAACAGTTATAAAATACACAAAACAGCTGGGGCGTAAATACTGTGTTCAGATGAAAAAAAGTACATAGAAAATACAAAATACAAAAAGTAAAAATGCAAAAATACCCAGACGGGTGCCTTATGATTCTCCAGATCCACCTTACATGTTTAGTTCAACTAACCACACTTGCTCAAAGATCCAAATAGAGCCAGAAATGAGGATACACATTTACACATATACACAAATGCAGAAATATACACACACAAAGACCAAACACACACAGATACACACCACCAGCAACAACTGCAAGACAAACATAAAACAAAATATATTATGCATGTTTCTAGCCAGCATTCGGTTTGCCCACCTGCGTAGCATGGAAGGAAGTGATAGTGTAGACACTGCATCCAGCACTGCTGCCTGGTTAGTAAGATAGTTACATTTCCCTAACTGGACTTCATTTTATTAAAGTGCCCTATCGAGTCCCCTTGCTTCAGCAGGTCTCTTACACTGCCTTAGCTTCCACGCCATGAGCACAATAGACAGGAATAGATCTCAGTTTTTTTTTTTATGTATTAGACATATGCATTCAAAATGTTATGCAAACAAATTAAGAAAAAATGGCTTACTATTAAAGGGACACTGTAGGAACCCAGACTGAAGTGGTCTGGGTGCTGTGTACCTTTTGCACTTAGTGCTGTAATGTAAAACATTGCGGTTCCAGAGAACTGCAATGTTTACATTGCAGCTCTATGTCTGCCCTCAGTGACTGTCTACCGTTATCTGACGCTGAACGTCCTCATGCTCTGCAGATTTTTTTACCCCTGGGAAAGCATTGATTAATACTTTTCTATGGGGAAATTCTAATGCGAGCGCGGCCATTGGCATGCATGCGCATTAGGTCTCCCACACCAGCTGACGTCAGTGCGAGTAGCGCGTGGGTGGAGCCTGACTCAGCGCTGAGGGACATTGACGCTGGATTCAGGTGAGTGACTAAAGGGGTTTTAACATGCATGGCGTGAGGATGTCCAGCATTGTTTAGATGACCAAAAGTCGTCTAAGAAGCCAGAAGCCAGAAGAGGACTTAACCCTGCAAGGTAAATATTGCAGTTTATAAAAACTGCAATAATTACACTTGCAGGGTTAAGGGTTATGGGAGTTGGCACCCAAACCACTTCAATGGGCTGAAGTGGTCTGGGTTCTACAGTGTACCTGTAAGTCCAAAGAAGGAAAGAGAGGTGCATTCTAGTCATCTGTACAGAGTATAGATCTGATACTGAAAAGGAGGAAGTAAAACCTATTCAGCTATGAGATCCAATAGTTGTGCAACTGAAATAAGAATGCATCCTGAGCAAGCCACAGAGTTCCGAGTAATCTCTGCATCATAACCTTTGCAGTAATGCACAATTGTAATGATGCTTCACAGTGACCCATTCAGGGTTATTTACTAAAGTGAGAATAGTGCTGAATTCAAAGTGAGTTCAAACCAAATTTCAAATTAAAGGCCAAAGTAAGAAAAATGATCCAAGTCAACCAGTTTGGCTACTTTGGCCTTAAAATCTAAAACTTAGAATTTTCCGACAATTCTCACTTCAGCTATTACAGCGGTATGCAACCTTCGGCACTCCAGATATAGTGGACTACTCCTCCCATAACTCTTTGCCAGCATTATGGCTGTAAGAGAAATATAGGAGTTGTAGTCCACAACATCTGGAGTGCCGAAGGTTGTCTACCGGTGCCTTAGTAAATAATTCCTTCAACAATAAATTTTAAAAATAGCATAACATTCATTTGAAACCTGTTATTTATTATTATTATTATGTTATTATTTATATAGCCCCGACAAATTCCATAACACTTTACAATGGGTGGACGAATAGACATGTAGTTGTAACCAGACAAGTTGGACACACAGGAACAGGGGGTTGGGGGCCCTGCTCAATGAGCTTACATGCTAGAGGGAGTGGGGTAAAGTGACACAAACGGTAAGGATAGTATTAGACTAATGACAGTTGCAAGAGAGGAAACAGTCGGGAGCTATTAACAGTTTAATTCATACGATTTTATGAAGAAGTGGGTTTTTAATGATTTTTTGAAGAAGTGGACACTGGGTGTGCATCTAATGGAGGAGGAAAGTGGGTTCTACAGGAACGGTGCAGCCCTGGTGAATGGACCAGCACCTTAGTCGCATCTGGTGTTAAGAGGGTCGGATACGCGCAATGTTTTTGAGATGGAAGCGACAGGATTTGGCGATACACTGAACATGAGGTGTGAAGGAGAGGTCGAAGTCAAAGAGAACACCTAGGCAGCGAGCCTGCATGGTGGAGCTGATGGTAGCACCGTTGACTTGGAGGGAGACAGACACAGGAGTAGCAACACTTGAGGGAGAAAAGACTAGAATTTCAGTTTTAGTCAAGTTGAGTTTAAGGAAGTGGGCAGCCATCCTGTTAGAAATAGCAGAGAGGCAGTAAGAAACACTAGTCAAGAGGGATGGGGAGAGATCAGGAGAGGACAGGTAGATTTGCGTGTCATCCGCATAGAAATGATATTGTAAACCAAAGGAGCTAATGAGTTTACCAAGGGAGGCAGTATAGATACAGAACAGTAGGAGACCAAGGGCTGAACCTTGGGAACACCAACAGAGAGGAGTTGGGGAGAAGACGCTGAGCCAGAGAAAGAAACACAGAAAGAACACTGGGAGAGGTAGGAGGAGCACCAGGAGAGAGCAAGATCTTGTAGACCGTTATTGCGGAGCATGAGAAGAAGCTGTTAATAATCAACAGTGTCAAAAGCTGCAGACAGGTCAAGGAGAATTAGGATAGAGTAGAGACCACGAGATTTTGCAGCGAGTAGATCATTAGATACTTTGGTTAGTGCCACAGAGTGCTTACCTCGGAAACTAGACTGAAGCGGGTCTAGCAGAGAGTTAAACTCAAAGACGTCTGTCAATCTTGCATACACAACTCTTTCAAGGATCTTGGATGCAAAAGGCAGTAGCAAGATAGGACGGTAGTTGGATGGGGAGTTAGGGTCAAGGTTGGGCTTCTTTAGAATTGGGGTTACAGTTGCATGTTTGAAGGGCAATGGAAATATGCCAGAGGAGAGAGAGAGATTGAGAAAGTGAGAGAAAGAGAAGAAGACAGAGTACGGATGAGATGTGAGGGAATTGGATCTAGGGAGCAGGTGGTTGGGCGGGAGGACTGGAGCAGAGCAGAAACCTCTTCCACTATAGCAGGTGCAAAAGAACAGCAGAGGGAGTGAGGTTAGGGGAAGTATTGTAAGGGGAAGAAGAAAGATGAGAGATCTCTTCCCTGATTGTAGAGATCTTGTCAGTGAAGTGAGTTGCAAAGTCTGATGTGGTCAAGTTAGCAGGTGGAGGAGGAACAATAGGGCAAAGAAGAGAGTTAAATGTGTGAAATAGTTGTCTGGGTTCGCGGGAGAGTGTGGTTATGGGTGTATTGAAGTAATTTACTTTTGCAGAGGAAAGAGCCAAGCTGTATGAGCGCAGCATAACTTTATAGTGGAGAAAGTCAGACGCACAGTGAGACTTTCTTCAACAGCGTTCAGCAGTTCTGGAGCATTATGGAGGTATCGAGTCAGCTTGGTGTGCCAGGGTTGTTGTTGGGGGTGCCTGCTGCGTTTAAATATAGGAGGTGCCATGATGTCTAGTTGAGAGGAGAGGGTGGAATTGTAGAAGGAGGTTGCAGAGCTAGGAGACGTGATGTTTGAGATAGGTAAAAGTAGAGTTTTGAGGTTAGTGGATAAATGCTCAAGGTCAAGACATTGGAGGTTTCTGTGAGATTGATGTTCAGACAATGGTGTCAATTGGGTCTTAGGTATGCCGATGTCAAAAGTCAGCAGATGGTGGTCAGATAGAGGAAAAGGAATATTGGAGAAATTAGAGGCAGTACAGAGATTGGTGAAGGCGAGATCGAGTGTTTCACGCTGTATGGGTTGCTAAATTGGACCGTTGTGTAACGCCAAAGGAGGAGGTTAAAGAGAGAAGACGAGAGGCATCACTGCAATTGGGGTTGTTGATTGGGATATTGAAATCCCCAAGTATAAGGGAAGGAGTGCTAGATGAGAGGAAGTGGGGAAGCCACGAAGAAAAGGGCTCAATGAATAGTCTAGGATAGCCAGGGGGCGGTAGATGATAGCAATTCTTAAAGGAGTGGGTTTAAATAGGCAGACAGTGTGAACTTCAAAAGAAGAAAAGGATAGGGCAGGTGGAGTTATGATTTGTTGAAAGGTACATTGAGAGGAAAGAAGGATGCCTACACCACCTCCTTTACAGTTGAGTCTGGGAGTGTAAGAGAATTGTAGCCCACCAAAACATAAAGAGGCAGGAGTAGCGCTATCAGAGGGGGAAAGCCAGGTCTCTGTAAGTGCAAGTAATGTGAGTGAGTTTGAGATGAAAAAGTTGTGTATGGCTGTTGATTTTAAATTTTATTAAAGGACACGGAGGCTCCTATTATGCTTATCTCTTTTTTTATTCCTCAGCAGCAAAAGAAAGGATATTATATATATTCAAAGAAAAAATTTCAATAACAAAACATAATTTACCCCAAAGAGTTAACCATATATAACATATAAGCTAATGAGAGTGTTCCTAGCATAATAATGTCCCGTGTGACTCTAAGCCACTCCTCTTTCTTTTGCTGCTGCCTCCTCAGCTAAGTACATTTTCAACCTCTGTCATAATTAAAATTGTATAGGTATTTTATGTCTAAGTTGGGTTAATTACCTTTAATTGCTTTTTATTTTTCCAGTGTGTGTCTTTAATTGACCTATCTGTCCATTTCTTATTTACTTTATGGGAATCTGTCCTGCATTTTCTCTGTAATTTCCCTCCCTCCCTCCCCCTCCGTCAGTCTGGTCGGTTTGTTTATTTTCCGAGCGTCCTCCCCCCTTCTTTACTTAGTACCTCGGACCTGAGGCTCCCTCTCAAGCCGGGTACCGTTTCTGTCCACGGTCCCGGCAAAATCGGTGAGGAACTGGAAGAGGGCAAAGGCCCTGATTGAATCCTCTAAATCTGAATCAGAGCAAGAGGAGTCACAGAGCGAGTAAGATGAGGACGACTCTTATGATTCCAACAGTTATTTGCCAGAGCACAGCACCTTGACAATAGACCCCAAAGAGGGAGTTGACGAATCCGCCCTGGTTGACCCTCAGGGTGAGCCACTTTTTGACCCCGACACCCTACAACACCCGAGATCCTCGGAGTGGTATCCCCTGGAACATGTAGCAAGATATATCGCTGCTCGCATTAGAAAGCCACTTGACAAGGTGGCACGAAACAAACTTCGAGCAGAATGCCCACGCCCCACTATTCCTGATATGGCATGCACCGCACCTGACGTGGACCAAAAATTGACCATTTCTTGGGAAAATCAGGTTGGAATGTCAAGAAGGGACTTTGCCTGGCGGAGTTGCCAGGATAAAGTCCTGGACGTCCTGGGGCCACTTGCGAAAATGTTCAACATGGTCGAAATTGGACTAACAGGTGGTACACCGTTAGATGTGGAAGCCATCAAGGGGTGGATCCAGCGAGTAGTATGTCTTCTGGGCAACGCCAATACTGCGGTGGCCACTGAAAGGCGCAAGGCAGTCCTGATCAAAATTTAACCTAAGCTAGTGAACCTAGCTATTTCAGAGCTTGGACCCCAGGCAAAAGCCCTCCTGTTTGGGGATAATTTTGTCACTTGATAAAGCTCAAGCCAGCATGAAACGAGTGTTCCACCAGAGAGTTTTTGGCAGGGCTGGCAGATATCGGGGCCGTCTGCCCGGCCGCTCTCCCCGGGGTTCATATCGGGGCTCTAGAGGCTCCATACAGTCCAGGTTCACAGCACCTGAGCCCAAACATACCTAACGTTCTTCCCAGTTCGGGGCAGACCATGGCAGTCTCTGGGACTCAGAGGTTCTTCCTACAGCCGATGACCTTATGGTAAGTTCGATGCCTCTTCATCTGTCTTCATTAACAATGGTGGGGGGCAGACTGTGTCACTTTGTCAATGCATGGCGCATGCTCACTTCAGATGCCTGAGTCCTCCAAACTGTCCAGGGTTACTCTATAGATTTTGTACAATAACCTGTTCAAATGCAACCCCCCAACCGTATGGTGTTCCCCACTCAGGATCAATATTTGATATCGAAGGAAATCCACCCTCTCACACCAGGTTTCCTAGGCAACCTCTTCCTGGTCCCCAAAAAAGGCAGAGGCGTTCATCCAGTCATCACCCTACTACCTCTAAACATGTTTGTCACATATCACCACTTCAAAATGGAAGGTATACACTCTCTCCGAGACCTCCTGCTTACAGGAGACTGGATGGTCAAGCTCGACTTGAAGGACACATACCTCACTGTTCCAATGGCCGAAGACTGCCAAAAATTGTTTCAATTCCAATGGGAGAAGACCGTGTGGCATTTCAAATGCCTACCTTCGGTCTCTCGTCAGCACCCTGGTGCTTCACAAAGCTCATGAAACCAGTGGTCGCCCTCCTACGCAGCAGAGGAATTCGACTTATAATATACTTGGACGATATCCTCATAATGGTGCAGGACCCTCAGCTGCTCCACGAACATCTTTCTTGGACGAGGACTCTGCTAGAAAACCTAGGTTTCCTAATCAGTTGGGAGAAGTCGGTCACCAAACCCTTTCAATCAATAGATTTCCTAGGATTCACCATAGATGATGTGAACAGAGCACTTCTACTCCCAACAACCAAAGTTAAATCCATCAAAAAGGAAATCCGGCAGACGTTAGCACGTCCTGTTCTTACCTTGAGACAACTGGCCCATATTCCCTGTCCCTCTGCACTACAGAGCACTTCGTAATACCTTTGTTTGGGGCACTCGTACTCAGACTCTGTTCCTCTCGACTGCACCGCCAAAGAAGAACTCAGGTTTTGGCTACAACACATGGAAGCATGGAACGGCCGAGCGATCTCTGGAACCACTCCGGACATCATAGTGGAATCCGATGCAAGTATGCTCGGTTGGGGGCGCGCTGTGGATCTACCTCCATGGTCCCTAGAGGAACAGGGACTACATATCAACTGCCTCAAATTGCTAGCAGGATCGTTTGCCCTATGGAGTCTTTTAAGTATATCAACCAACTGCTCCATTCTGTTACGCATGGACAATATATCAGCGGTCCGCTATATCAATCACCTCGGGGGCACGAAGTCAACAATACTAGCAGAACTAGCAAAGGATTTCTGGCAATTCTGTCTGGATCGCAACATTTCAGTACAAGCGGAATACATTCCGGGGATGACCAACGTAGTGGCGGACTGGAATTCCAGACACCTACGAGATGCCAGCGACTGGCGACTGAACCCTGCCACCTTCAGCCATTTACAGTCCCTTTGGGGACCCTTGGACATCGACCTGTTTGCATCATGCTTAAACACACAGTTACCAAAGTTTTTCAGCTGGAGGCCAGATCCAGAAGCTCTGGCGACAGACGCTTTCCACCAACCATGGGCAATTACCCGCCACTACGCCTTCCCTCCGTGTTCGCTCATCGCACTGACTCTGCTGCACCTCAGACATCACCGAACCTCCCTGATCCTCATATCCCTCTTCTGGACGTCTCAGCCCTGGTTCCCTACACTCATGGAACTGTCCATAGATCTCCCGAGATTACTACCAGTGGCCACCAACCTTGTACTGGACCCCAACGGGAACTCGCACCCCCTCATACTTCAGGGACATCTCAAGCTCTTTGCATGGCTCCTCTCAGGGGACTCTGCTATATCCCAAATGTTCCACAAACAACTCTGGGCCTCCTGGTGGGGGCTTGTGCTTCAGGAACAAGGAGGTCATACCTACATGCCTGGAACGCATGGAATAGTTGGTGCATGGAACAACACGTGGATCCCATATCTGCAACTGTGAGTCAAGTTTTAGGTTTCCTTACTTCACTTTTCGACCATGGCCTGGCATATCATACAATCAATTTATATAGCTCAGCTATTTCGGCGGGCCACCAAGGCTGGAATGGACTCCAAACAGGGAAACACCCAGTGGTATGTCAACTCCTACGCGGCATCAAGTTCAAACGCCCACCATGACCTAGGTATTCAGATTCGTGGGACCTCGTTCTCCGACTTTTGGAAAATTGGCCAAAGAATGAGGACCTTTCCATCAAGCAGCTCACCGCTAAACTGGTTATGCTGTTTTGTCTTATCTCCTGTAAACATGTCTCAGATGTCCGAGTACTGGACCTCGCGGCACGCTCATTTACACCAGAAGGCATGTCCTTCGCTATATCGAGACGTACAAAGACATCCATTACATCGGTTTTCTACCCAGCTTTTCCACATAACGTTAACCTGTGCCCAGTAGTCTGCCTCAAAGAATATGAAGCAAGGACAGCTTCTGTTCGGGACCCCCGGTATCCAGATCTATTTCTGGCAATTCGACAACCACACCATCTAGTTTCTACAGTTACCATATCTCGCTGGGTCAAATGGATCATGGCGTCGGCTGAGTGAGGGGTGCTATGGCATCAAAAGCCTTTTCTTTGGGCTGTAGACTGGAAGATCTCCTCCGTGCAGCCGACTGGTCCAGAGAATCTACATTCCGAGAATTTTATTTTCGTCCAGTTTCTCATTTTTCCACTTCAGTGATCACGCAGCTTTGAACTACCATAATAGGAGCCTCCATGTCCTTTAATAAAATTACCAGATTTTACTAATCTAATGACATAAAGTCATGATTTTATAAAGGACATGGAGGCGGTATTGTGAATATACCGTCATGTAATTGGGCACGAACCGTGTGGTAATGCAATGTTTTGTTTTCCCTTGATTGACTAGTACTGAACTGACATATTGATTGATTAAGGTTGTAATATAGATGTGGACATACTATCCAAGAACGTATTTTACCATTTCGTTTCTCTGTCTTACAGCCTGCTAATTGGGTTGTCATACTGGTCCATGTCTGTCCATAACAAGTTCAAACAGAAGATTGCCAGTTTTCTCTGGAGTTCCGTTACTGTAAGCTCCCTGGAATCACAGTTCTACACATCTGTTGAATTACAGCGTTTTTCTATCTATGGGAGTGTTCGTCGGCAACATCAAGAAAGAGGAGTGGCTTAGGGTCACATGGGACATTATTATGCTAGGAACAATCTCATTGGTTTATATGTTATATATGGTTAACCCTTTGGGGTAAATGATGTTTTGTTATTGAAATTTTTTCTTTTTTTATATATATATAATATCCTTTCTTTTGCTGCTGAGTAATAAAGAAAGAGATAAGCATAATACTCGCCTCCGTGTCCTTTATAAAATCATGAGATTAGTAAAATCTGGTAATTACTGCAGATGGAGCGGGCGTTCCAGAGTGCACACTGAATGTTGGTAAGTGAGGGTAAAGGGCAGGGTATTGTGATGAGGTTTGTGGGGTTTCTGGTTTACTTAGTGTGTTTAGAGAAGGTGAAGGGCCCTGGATTGGGAGAGACATCACCAGCTGCTAGAAGCAGGAGGAGAGAAAGTGACAGGAGGTGTGAATGGGTTTTGTATGCATGGGGTATAGGATGAGATTGATTGTGGGTTGGAGTGAGAGAGTAGAAAAATGAGTGCAAGGCATGAGATGAAAGAAGGGGGAGTGTAGCAGAGAAGGGCATATGTAAATGTGGATGGGGGGGCGGTGAGTGAAGTGGGTGTAAGGAGAGATTTTTATACTGAGGGAGAAGGAGGAAATAAAGACGAGAAGACCGGTCATTGCTAAACTGTGAAAAAGTTAATTGGAAATAATTGGAATATCAAGAGTATATTATTTTACAGTGTGTTTATAGAATTAATGCAGAGTGTGTGTTTGTGTGTGTATATAATGAATGCAGAGTGTGTGTTTGTGTGTGTATATATAATGAATGCAGTGTGTGTGTGTTTGTGTGTTGTGTGTGTATATAATGCAGTGTGTATAGAAAATGCAGTGTGTGTGTTTGTGCAGTGTGTGTAAACTGGATGAGGGGAGGGCATTTTTATTTAAATTTTTAAATTTTATTATATTATTTCAATATTATTATTATATTATATTATTATTATTTTAATATTATATTATTTTAATAATATTACTATTATTTTAATATTTGCATTATTTTTTTAAAATGTTTTTTTGTCCCCCCTCCCTGCTTGTTGCCTGGTCAGGGAGGGGGGACAAAAAAACATTTTTTTAAAATTAATGCAAATATTAAAATAATATTCATAGAAAGCAGAATTCAAAAATTACCACCATGCACGTTCTCTGAAATTTGTTTAGCACAATGGTTGGGGGAAGGATGTGAAAACACCCCATATACAATACCCTGGAATGTCTACTTTATAAAAATATAAACTTTCATGATATTAACATTAACTGGGGGATGCAAAAATATGCCAAACTGAAGATAGGCCAAGCATACCTATATATCAAGTTGAAAAACTGATATGTACAAGTCTCGATCGTGGCCTTTTAGCCCCCAAACAACCTGACAAGCCTATGCATGGGTGGTATCACTGTACTCAGGAGATGTTGCTGAACACATATTGGGGTGTTGTTTGGCAATGTCACATAACCGGATCTGTTAATTCATGCCTAAAGTACAATGTGTGTAAAAAAAACACCAAAAAAATTACTACCTAAAAGTTTGACAAAGTCTAGTGTTAGAATTAGTGCATGGAAAGTGTTAAAATACCACCATGTGAAATACCCTAGGGTGTCTACTTTCCAAAAATATATAGTTTGGTGGCAGAAAAATACATTGGTCGGCCTTACAAATGTCCCAAATAGGACATGCATGCAGGTTGACTACATGTCAAAATTCCAAGTTAGAAAATGGATATGCGCACCTAACATGATCTGTGAGTTTATACCTGAATTGCAATGTATGTGAAAACAAAACTAAAAAAAAAACTACCTATGCGAAGTTTGGCAAGGACTGGTGGTAAAATGGCTGCATAGAAAGTGTCAAAATATCCTTAGATGAATACCATGGGTTGTTTACTTTAAAAAAAATATATACATGTGGGGTGTTTTCCAGAGATTTATGACAGATAATAATGTTACAATGTCACTATTGATAAATTTTAAAAATGTATGTTTTGAAACCGCAATATCCTACTTGTACTTATAGCCCTATAACTTGCAAAAAAAAAATGCAAAAAAGCACGTAAACACTGGGTATTTTTAAACTCAGGACAAAATTTTGAATCTATTTAGCAGTTTTTTCATTGGCTTTTGTAGATGAGTAAAAGATTTTTCAAGTAAAAGTAAAAAAACATGATTTTTTTTTAAATTTTGCATCATATTTTATTTTTATTTTTTAATTAAATTACATGAGATTATATAAATAATGGTATGTAAAGAAAGCCCTTTTTGTCCTGAAAAAAACAATATATAATTTGTATGGGAACAGTAAATGAGAGAGCGGAAAATTACAGCTAAACACAAACAAAAAAGAGGCCTGGTCGCAAATGTACATCTCAAAAACAGTCCAGTCCTTAAGGGGTTAATTGTATTTTTATATATTTGTTTATTGTTTACAGAAATAGTAAAGGGGAAACAAATCTTAGAGAATAAAATAGATTATACCATTTATGTTATTTTGGAATTAATATTGTATACTGAACTCTCTTTACTGAAGAATGTATTTTAACCCCTTAACGCCGTTACGGCGTTCTATGTCGTCCCGCATTAAAAGGGCTTTAAAGCCGTTGCGGCGGCATAGAACGCCGTAATGGCTTTGAGCCCCTGGAGGTCCGGCGTCCTTACGATCCTCTTCTGCGATCCTCTTCTGGAGGGCTGCCTGACAGCCCAGGCAGCCCTCCCCCAGCAAATGAGGCCCCCAGGGGCCATGTGATTGCTCTGAAAGAGCAATCACATGGCCCCCTATAGCTGGCTGTGGATCTGCCAGCAGGGGGACTGTCTAAAATGTCAGACAGTCCCCCTGCTGGTGGGAAAGTAAAAAAAAAAGAATTAGACATGTGTAAAATTAAAATAAATGTATTTTTATATATATAATATATGTATACCTATTATATATATAATATATATACATATTATATATATGTTATGTCATACAAAGTGTATTTTAATATTAATATAAGTACATATATGTCAAGGTTAATACTCCCCAACACGCAAACCAGAGAACAATAAAGGCGAACACAGATAGACGTATTACCGGACCTTAAAGTGGCCGGACTTAACGTAGGAACGAAAGATAAGAATAGTCAAACACGCCAAGGTCAGTAATACAGAGATACGGGAAAGCGAAATAGACAAAGCCAAGGTCAGGGAGCCAGAAATAAGAATAACCAATAAACAAGCCAAAGTCAGGAACCAGAGAAAAATGACAACTACTCAGAATGCACTCTCGGGCTATAATAAACCACAACAGGGCAAGGAAGTGATGTCAGAAGAAGGTTAATATAGGGCAAGATGAATACTAATAGGTAGGGACAGAATTGAAGGAGGTATACATAGATAGTGGCAATAGGCCACTATCTCTTTAAATTTGGAGTCCACGTCATCCCTGCCGATTACCTTGTGCGCGCGCGCACGTCTCCGGGCGCTCTCCCAGATGCGCGAGCGCGCTCCCCCGGAGGCGCACGCGTGCAACGCCCGCCAGCGATCCACACCGCAGGAATGAGAATTACCCCCATGATGGCATACCATTTGCAAAAGAAGACAAACCAAGGTATTGCAAGTGGGGTATGTCCAGTCTTTCTTAGTAGCCACTTAGTCACAAACACTAGCCAAATATTAGTTTTTTGCTTTTTTCACACAAAAACAAATATGAACACTATTTTTTGCCAGTGTTTGTGACTAAGTGGCTAATAAAAAAGACTAAACATACCCCACTTTCAATACCTTGGGTTGTCTACTTTTTTAAATGGTATGCCATTATGGGGGTAATTCTCATTCCTGGGCTACCACACCATCTCAAAGGTAACATTACTAATCTTGCAAATTTCAATTTGAAAATGTAATGTGCTACATTTGACCCTGTAACTTTCCAAAACACCATAAAACCTGTTAATGGGGGGGTACTGTTGTACTCGTGAGACATCGCTGATTACAAATATGTGCATTTTTTAAAACCTAACAGTATTATGACATTAACAGCTAAAATGTCCGACGGAAATACAAATTTAAAAAAAAATCTTATTTTTATACATTTTTTTAAATTTTATTCATAATAAATTATGTTCCATATATGAATAGTTAATGATAAATGAAAGTCCTGTTTCACCTGAACAAAATGATATATAATAAGTGTGGGTGCACTTAATATGAAAGAGGTGAATTACGGTTGAACAGACATATAGCGCAAATTCCAGTTTTTGTTTACGTTTTGTTTTGATCAGAACGTGTACTATTGATTCTGTCCTGAAGGGGTTAAAGCAGTTGACAGCATATAGAAATCCCTTTCTAGTTATTCCTTAGTTAAATATTCTACTTGATTCCTCTAATCACTGTTATTTGCTCTCAAATATACTGTAGTTAAATATACAGTCGCAGTGTTTCACTACCAATAGAACTTAATTGTATTTATTACAATGGAAGTGCAGAGAGATAAGTGCCTAGCATTAAATAGTCATCATATTGTAGTGCTATTAATCATGCCCTTTCGCTTTCATTGACATTTTATAACCACAACCTCAATGGCATGTAATGATGCTGCACAGGCTAACAGGTGAGCGGTAAGAATTTTCCACACTTTGTAGGTTATTTAGTAGGCGTTCAATGAGTACAAATACAACGTTAATGATTTTGATAGACTTTGGCCTCATTAATGAGCTGTATTTTTTCACATGCTCAAACATTTAGAGTTTTCACACATTAAAAAAAAAAATGTTTTGCAGAATGTAGGACCGCTATCCAGTCACCAAAGCCAAAGACCAGTTTTGGGGTCGAAACATTGCTGCTGTACACTGTTCCATAATAAAAGTCTGACTGGTTAGGGACACTACTGGGTATGCCTGGGCTCCTTTATACATCCCAGTGTGGCTTTTATTGGGTCTGCCCTCCCTTCCTGGAGCACCCCAGTGGGGATAGTCCCTTACTTGACGTGCATGTGCATCACTGAAAATCTCCATTGCTAAAGCAGACTTCCTAATCCAATGTACGTACACAGCTCAGCCACTACCACTACTGAATGATCTGAACTACAAGGCAATCTGCACTAGAAGGAGAAGACACCAAGGGAGACATATACAGGGTTATAAAAGTCTCAATGGCCCTGCAACTGAATAAGGCAAAACGATTTGCTGAAGTACAGGGCCTGTTTAGTCTGCAGAATCCAGACATGCTCACAGTATGTAGCAATATTTGGATCTTGCTAACCGGGCTCTGAATGAGCCAGAATTTATTAAATTGTTTACATGGGCCCAAATGCTTGAAATTGTATGTAAGAGGTTAATACATTATACTTAGGTAACGTTTAAATTGTCCTTGGACAACTTGTCAGATGAAGTAATTTATTCCAAAACAGACTTAACTGATGAAAGGTGACATTTAGGGGACGGCACACATTCAGGAATGGGAAGAGTGAAGCACTTTGTGACAAGAAGGGACTTGATCCGTAATGCAAAGTTTAGAAAGTTTAACCACATGTCAGTCCAAGAGTACTCAAACAGTGCCCAATTCACCCATCAAAACTATCAGCTTCAACACTTATTTACTCCAGAGCAGGGTGCACCACAAGATGAGCTCATGTGTCTACCTAAAGAGCATGGTTAGACAGGTGTCCCATTCACCATTACTAAGTGAAGAATGAAGGGGTTCCCAAACTGGGAACCTGCCTAGAATCCCATCAGATCTTAATCATTCTTTAATTCACTGCACTTCACTGAAGACACATCCATTATGAGACAGGACTCAGCCTCTGCTAAAATAGGGACCCTATCATTGATCATAATAAAGACTAACAGGGCTATTTACTAAAGTGAAAATTCAAGATGAATTCAAAGTGAATTTAAAATGTAAGGACAATGTAGCCAAACTGAAAGCATAGCTGGCTTTGAAAAATGTTTCCAGTTTGGCTATTTTGACCTTAAATTTTACATTCTCTTTGAAGTCTCACTTTAGTGATTAGCCCTTTAGGTTTTGTTTACGTTCAGAATTTGGACAATTAAGCAGAGGAGAAGCAAGGGGATCCCGGAGGAGCATGGGAGCCTGGGGCAAAGGACTATCAGGGGGGCCTAGGCCAGAGGAGAAGCAGGGAGAGCCTGGGGCAGAGGAAGAGCATGGGAGCCTGTGGCAAAGGAAGAGCATGGGAGCCTGTGGCAAAGGAGGAGCAGGGGGGCCTAGGCCAGAGGAGAAGCAGGGAGAGCCTGGGGCAGAGGAAGAGAAGGGGAGCCTGGGGCAAAGAAAGAGCATTGAGAGCCTGGGGCAGAAGAGAAGCAGAGAGCCTAGGGCAAAGGAGGAGCAGCGGGGCCTAAGGCAGAGGAGAAGCAGGGAGAGCTTGGGGCAGAGGAAGAGCATGGGAGCCTGTGGCAAAGGAAGAGCATGGGAGCCTGTGGCAAAGGAGGAGCAGGGGGGCCTAGGGCAGAGGAAGAGCAGGGGAGGCTGGGCAAAGGAGGAGCAGTGAGAGCATGGGGCAGAAGAGAAGCAAGGAGCCTAGGGCAGAGTAAGTGTATGGAAGCCCGGGGCAGAGGAAAAGAACAGGAGCCTAGAGCAGAGAAAAGGGGGACATGGGGCAGACATAAATTTAAGTTGAAATAACAGCAACTATATTAATAACAAACATTTTTCTAATATGAGGGGTACAATTTATGGAAATGAGCTGCCAATTGGGTACACAAGTGAAAAAAGGTTGAGGACCACTGTTTTAGGGAACCTTAACACTGTGTTTGAAAGTGTCTGAAAAAGCCTGTCTGAAGGTGAAACGCATTAGTGTTTTATTGGTGTTTCATACTATACTTTTGGTTTTATTATTTTGGTTATAAATAAAACTAGTTTTTAATCGAATTTGACCTTCCTTTTTTTATCTCTGAAGTTTTTACCTGGAGGAGTCATACTCCTAGGTTGGGAAGATACCATCTAAGCTATATAGAATTGAGCATAACTTTACAGTGCTCTCCATTTGTGAGTATACCTCCTTTTATTATTTATTTTTTCAACTATACAGAGAGCACTATCTTCTGTTTTTATTTTCATTTTATACGCTGGTGAACTCTCACTGTGACTAAACGGCATATTTAGTCGTAGAGACCACTTCTACAAAGCTGACCACCACCTGCTGCTGACCGGCCTTAGGATCCCTTTCCACATAAGATCAAGACAGAGACCAAGATCAGCATATCCACAGACGGGGATTGTACCGTCCAAGCGCATATATCTGGAGCTGATTTCAAGCTCCAGAAGATTGTAAGTGCATTTCCTTTCTTTCAAAAATATTACACCATTTTCCATTTTATTTGTTCTCTTGTTTTACATATCGATCCATCTTTATTTAAATTGAGGACACTTGTGAAGGAGCTGTTTCTCTGCATTCTCTTTCTATATCTACCTACGCCAGAAGGAAGAGGTTCTGGTTTGGGAAGTCAAGCGCTAGAATCCCATCTTTTTACTTACTCTATAAAGTATGTCTACGACATTATCTGGTTGAAAGCTTTCTTTGGGTATTCTGATGTAAACAAACGTAATAATCAACCATAGTGCATATTATTTTTGAGAGATGGGAAAGAAGGGAAGGAGATTATTTCAGTAGGTATTTCACTGCTTTAGGCTGCTCATTTTTAAGTTGGTTCAAATTGATATATTTCTTTACATTGCCATTTAGAGAAAGCACTGAGCAAATACATTTAAAAATGTTTAATGGCTTTTGTTAAAACGATGATAGACTAGTCAGATTTATCTTTTCTACATCAAAGGTCTAAATGATAATTAACATGCTGTGATCCATTTTATATAAAAAAAAAAAATAACAGAAGTACCGTCAACTATTTAGAGGGTCTCTTGCAGGGTTTCCAAATGTTTGTCTGCACATTAATACATGTTAAAAGCATTCAGTCCAACAGTTGGATTCCACTTCTCAGTCGAGACATGATTCATTTATGAAATTATTCCTGTAAATTGCTGATATGTGTTTTAAGTGTATCTGTCATGAGAAGTTCACTTTTTGAATAAACGTTTAAATATTGTCTACATGTATATGTTGCATTGCTTAACCTTTTCAATTAACCAACCCCCAAAATATTTTTTTAAGTACATAAATTCTAAAAAGAAAAAAAAATTAAAATGAAAACAGAGATAGGCATTTTAGTTAATGAAGGAAAAGGAAGACATTTTAAATAATATTTCCTCAGTATATATTAAGGAGGATCCTATGGCAAGAGATACGCACATAACAGCTGCAAAATAATTTGTGATTGGATGACTCAAGACAAGGTGCTGCAGCAACTAAAGAAAGTTAATGTAAACAAAGCTCTGGGGCCTCATGGTATTGACCCACAAGTACTTAAGGAGTTGTTTAGCTTTCAAGATTTTTTTTTTTTCACAAATTGTACCGGAGGATTAAAGGAAGGGAGATGTGGTCCTATATTCAAAAAGGGATCACAATATTTGCCTGGAAGTTATAGACCTATTAGTTTAACGTCTGTGACTGGGAATGTATTTGAAGGGTTATTAAGGGACAATATTCAGGAATTCATTGAGAAGAACATTGTTATTAGCAATAATCAGCATGATTTTATAAAACTAGCTCATGTCGAACTATCCATATTGCATTCTACAAACAAGTAGGTAGAAGTATAGATCAGGGTGTTGCAGTAGATTTGATCTACTTGAATTTTGCCAAGGCATTTGATACAGTTAGTACAACAGGTTAGTGTTCAAGCTACAATAAATTGGTCTACATGAAAATGTGTGCTCTTGGGTAGACCATTAGCTTAAATATAGAGTACAGAGAGCTGTCATTAATGGTACATTTTTAAGCTTGGCAAAAGTGGTAAGTGGTGTCCCTCGTAGTTCTGTTTTGGGACCTCTTCTATTTAACATAATTATAAATGTTCTTGAAATAGGCATTTAAAGCCATGTTTCAGTGTTTGCAGATGACACAAAACTCTGTTAAGTAATACAATGTAAGCAGGAAATTGGTTTGCTGCAGAGGGATTTAGATAGATTGGGGGACTAGGCACTAAAATGGCAGATGAAATGTAATTTAGACAAATGCAAGTTTATGCACTATGGGGTAAAGAATGCACAAGAAACATACACACTAAATGCTAGTGAATTAGGGATAAAAACACACGAGAAGGATTTGGGAATTGTTATAGACAACAAACTAGGCAACATCTGCAATGTCAATCGGCAGTTATTAAGGCCAGTAAGGTATTGTGATGTATAAATAGGGGCATTCAATTTTGGGATGAAAATATAATTTTGCCTCTTTATAAATCACTGGTAAGAACACTCCTTGTATATGCTGTGCAATTCTGGGCACCTGTTCTAAAGAAGGATATTATGGCACTAGTAAAAGTGTAGAGGCGGGCTTCAAAATTAATAACAGGATGGTTAACAAATTTAAAAATTTTTAGTTTTGGAAAAACATAATCTCAGAAGGGATATGATAGCATTATACAAATGTATTCAGGGCCAATACAAACCATTGTCTGGAAATCTATTCATAAACCGGATTATACATAGTACATGAGGTCACACATTTAGACTGGAAGAAAGGAGATTTAGTCTAATGAAATGGTTTTTTTTCCATTAGAACAATAAGGATGTGTGATTCTCTGCTTGAAGAGGTGGTTTACTTAGATTAAATACAGATGTTTAAACATCAATTGGATATATACATGCAAAACCATAACATTCAGGGATATAATTTTTCATTAGCGGGGTAATACCTTCTTGATCCAAGGAGATATCTGACTGACATTTTGGGGACAAGAAGGACTGTTTTCCTAGTTGCAAAATTGGAAGCACTTCAACTGGATTGTTTTTTTCATTTAACAAAAGGTGCAGATTTCATTAGAAATTGGCACTTTTATATTAACCTTGTTACACCCCCTGCTCTCCTCCCCCCTTGCTGTAAGACAGCTGGCCCTATTACATCCTGGTTTAGAGCTAAACAGAAGAGGCAAACAATTGCCTAGACCACCTGCCTTGTAAAGACTTCTGGACTGCCATAGAAAGTCTGAGCTAGGGAAGAAAGGTAGGTTTTACAAGCTGTGTTTAAATATAACCCCAATTAAAACAAAAATCAGAATTAAATGCATGGATGTTTTTATTGGTGGTGTAACTACTAAATCTTGAGTTATGTAGTATTTGGGCAGTTCAGTTGAGTGTCCTTTTAAGTGTTTCACAAAGCAGGGCAACCATCCTCTTGTCACTTTATATGTTAAAACTATTACAGCAACTGCTATACATTACAGGTATGTGCTACGGTCATCTGAAAGAAGATTCTCCTGCATCTTGTCTGTCAGTCAATCCTTAGTTGCTGTCATATTAGTGAAGGCTAAAAATTGAGTGATGTATGGAGGAGTTGACATTTCTTATTTTATATTATAATCTTCTGTTTATGTATCACAGCATTATCACCTTGAAAGAGCATAGATTGGTGCCATATTTGGTTGGCCAGGAATGTTAGGACCAATTGAGGACCAATTTATAAATCACTGATTAGCATTGATAAATTAACGGTTTGCTATTAAACTCCTATTTGGTTGTACTAATTTTGTCTTTAACATTTACCTGTCATACAAACAACTTGGCCATCTATACCAAAGACGGAGTGACTCATGAGAACCCACATATAGTCCTACAGCTCTCCATTCCTTTAAATACAGTGACTGTGGTGTGATATTCCTCTAAATAAATTTGAGTGACACATGTTGCTATACCCAAATTCTCATTTGCTGCTTGTGAATCCAGCATTTGTTTGTGTTTTGGTGGAGGTTTGCTCTGCTTAGAGATTTTTTTCCAATCAGGGCCAATAGTGTAACATTGGGTTGAGACATAGGCGAGAGCAAAGGGTGGGTATTATGTTGGCTACATGGCATCAGATGAGAGTAGGTCCCATAAAGGGATTGTCCAGGTAAAATTGACTAGAGATGTTTAATGCATGATTTAGACAATGCATTAGAATATAATTAAAAAAAATATTACTTACCTTTTTTATGCACTTCGGCGTAAAGAATACACAAGCAACGTATACCCTTAATGGAAGCGAATTAGGGATAACAACACAAGAAAAGGACTTGGGAATTGTTATAGACAACAAACTATGCAACAATGTGCAATGTCAATCAGCAGTGGCCAAGGCCAGTAAGGTATTGTCATGCATGAAAAAGGGCATTCATTCTCGGGACGAGAATATCATTTTGCCTCTTTATAAATCACTGGTAAGACCCCATATTGAATATGCTGTGCAATTTTGGGCACCTGTTCTAAAGAAGGATATTATGGCACTAGAAAAAGTGCAGAGGCGGGCTACAAAATTAATAAAAGGAATGGAACATATCGGCTATGAAGAAAGGTTAACAAATTTAAACCTATTTAGTTTAGAAAAACGTCGCCTGAGAGGGGATATGATAACATTATACAAATATATTCGGGGCCAATACAAACCACTGTGTGGAAATCTATTCACAAACCGGACTTTACATAGGACACAAGGCCATGCGTTTAGACTGGAAGAAAGAAGATTTCATCTAAGGCAAAGGAGAGTTTTTTTTACTGTAAGAACAATCAGGATGTGGAATTCTCTGCCTGAAGAAGTGGTTTTATCAGAGTCCATACAGATGTTCAAACGGCTACTAGATGCATACTTGTTGCAAAATTGTGCTTCAAACTGGGTTTTTTTGCCTTTTTTTGGATCAACAGCAAAAAACAAATGTGAGGTAGGCTGAACTAGATGGACGCAAGTCTCTTTTCAGCTATGTAACTATGTAACTATGTAACTATGTAACTTTTATAAGTCCCTCAACTGAACTGCTTAGTGGGTCTGCTCACACAGATATTCTCTCAATAGAATAAGACTAATCAATACTGAGTGTATCATTTAGTCGAGAGGAAGTGATCTTTTTCTGTAATCCCCTGTCCAGCATGGGATTATGGGATAACTATTTCACCCCCAAATAGCAGTTTGAAATATAAAATAGGATCATTGGAATCACTCAAAAAACTAATGGAAGCTACATGTTGTTTGTTTATACATAGCCTGGTTCACTATTTATTAAAGCAGACTATGTATCATACTATTGAGTAAGTCACAGACAATGCACCAAACGAACAACTTAGAAACTAAATCTTCTGAGCAGCCTTATTAACTGTCCTGATGGGCTGTCTTATAGCAGCAGTAATTTTTACAAATCATGGCCACTGTTAGCCACTTTCAAACATAGGAATAGGTTCAAGGGGGGCGTTGTATGGCCTTCGACCTTAATGGCCGCATGATTTGAGAGCTCCTGACAATCCGCACTGAATCCAGCACGTATCATAAGCATCAAGACCCAAAACACTATCTAACTTGCTCAGGCATGTCCAGTGCTGGTTCCGGATCAAAACCACCTTGCAAGAAGCGTGGTCGCATACAGGATTTCCATCCAAACATAATCGAGCTGTTCGCGGCTTCCCGCCTGCTCCAGGCCCCACAAGATTGACGCCAGGATAGCCCACACAGCTCTCTGTCACCAGTATCCTTGGCTGGGAGTGATGAGCCTGACATCCACACAGTCGAAGTGGCACAAATCCTCCACAAGCTCACGGAGGTGAAGACTTACCTAGCAAACAAAATCTCACACAACTAGAAGGAGGTGAAGGCAGAGATACAGGCCTTAGGAGCTTGCACGTCCAACCTCGAACACAGAGTAGAATCTGTGGTACAGGTTCAAAACACTGTAGTATCACATGCTGAACTTATGGTCCAGCAGATAGACCAACTGGAGATGCAAGTAGAAGATTTGTCAAACCGCTCCAGGCACAATAATTTGCACGTCAGGGGTCTTCTGGTGTCGTCTCATGAGGGGCCATTAGCCTAAAAGATGGAGGAGTAATAAACACCTGTTACCCGATATCCATGATGACAGATGGGCCCACAGAGCAATGCGAACCAGGAGACTGGAAGGTGCAGTGCCCAGCGACATCATCTGCTTTCACCAATACTCCACTAGAGAAGCATTTGTACAGCAGAGATAATGTCCTGCAATACAAAGATGCAGAACTGGCTATTTACCAAGATCTCTCACCGCCAATCCTGCAATGACGCAAAGACTGGAAACAGATGGCTGATCTCTTGCGCAAACATGAGGTCAAAACCCACACCTAACTGCCAGGAGCTGACCCTCTATTCCATCCCCAGACCAAAGCGCCCGATACCGGTGTTCCTTCCCTATAAATGGCAGGAGGCCAGGGCCAGCGGGGGCCGCAACACTTCAAAATAAAGCCACAAGTTTTATGGTCATCGTTATGGGCATGCGGTAAGATTAGAATTGACCAATCCCCAGTTACTGCACTATTACGTTTAAATTGGCCAGACCTGTCATCTATACAATTCTTTCTGACTACTCATTCTTTTGTGGCTCTAAAGATTCTGGCTGCAAGAAACTTGAAACAGCCTATCGAAATTGGTTATACCCAATGGAAAAACCAGATGACCTTGCAAATTGGTAATGAAATGGGTTCCTATTGGAGGAAAGCCAATACAAAAAAATACCTATTAGGACAAAAATGTTTAGATTTACTCGGGACTGTTATATAAATTTGAGTAATTCATGCACTTTAGAGATACTAATATTATAAAAGAATAGAAGCAAAAGAGGTAACAATCACTGTTTCAGTCCTGCACTTTTCCCACATTTGTTTCAGAATGTTTGTAATTTTGTAAAGTTTGTAATATGTATATGATCTTTTTATGAATGAGTATGTGATTTGAATATGTGTTTTATCCAAATATATATTTGCACTAATGAAAACACAATAAAGATTTATAAAAAAAAAAAAAAAGTTTTATGGTCGTCACCGACAAAGGTTGCACAGTATTCCACAGCGTTAGGGCGCCGTCATACTGGAACTCAGCTAAGTTGTTACCCAACCGGGGGTGCTGGGACTCTGGGGTCGGGGGTGAGGGGTGGGGTTGTTGGAGGGAACTAAAGCATAACCTAGAGCCAAGGCAGAGGCATAGTGACACCACCTGTCTAAGTATTATGCACTCATTTATTTTATGTTGCTTGTGTATATAGTTACCTTTTTATATAATTTTGGTGGGTATTTGTATGCTGCTCAGATGGGGGAGGGATAGCAAAGCTCCCGTGGTCTAAAAAGAAAAAGGGCCAGGTGACATGGAAGCAGCTCTGGAGGAAACACCGCAGCGTTAACACATGGGAGTTACCTGGGGAACGAGATTGGGGTAAGAAGGGCTTACTCTTTCAATTGGACATGGAAACTAAACACTAGCCTCCTTAAGAATGAAGAGATATGCAAAACCATGAGCACGGTTATTAATGACTATTTCACACACAATATCTTGCAAGAGGTGGACCCAGTAGCAATCTGGGCAACCCACGAGTCAGTCTTAAGGGGACACTTCATTAAAGTGGCAATGCACAAAAAGAAACATACAACCCAACTTTTATTGGAGCTACAGGCTGCTATAAGAAAAGCTGAACAGCAACATAAAAATAACCCCACGGTAGATAAACTGACAGATAAACTGACAGAGCTGAGCACCCTGTGGCACTTGATCAGGGAATTATCCCTGGAGGGTGTGGCACGGTACATCCAATGGTCCAGGTTTCTGAGAAATATACAATACAAGCTTTATGGGCACTCCTGGCATGTGCAGAGAACGGACTGACTTGAACCGAGCAGAAATTACACAATATGATATACATGGCAGCCCGTAGGGCATTGGCCCAGAAGTGGAGGTGTCCTCTCTCACATTGGTGACAACCAAAATCAGGGATAGCTACCTAATGGATAAGCTAACCTCAATGGTCCATAACACCACTAAAACGTTCCACAAGATATGGAAACTCTGGGAACACATAGAGGAGGTGGAAGGTTAACCTGGTACATGGACCTTGGGGGGGGGTAGAAATGTATGAGCCTTTCCTGTGCCATGGGTATGTTTAATTGTTTTATTAAAAAAAAAAAAAAAAGATTGATTGTTGCATAATTGCAATATGTACGTCATACATGTGTCCTGTGCACATTAGACTAAGCATAGCACAGATTATGTAAACAGCTTAAACAGCTACATGTTTAACTATTGTTCAGGAAACAGCAGATGTACCGGATTGACATGTAACCGAAAGCACTATTTATATTGCACTTTTTACTGTACTCTGTTTACCCACATGTGAACGTACAACTGATCTTTTGCAAAATAAAGAATAAAAAAAAATAGAATAGACTCAAGGTGCTCGACCCACCATTCAATTTGCGTGAATGCAAAGTGCTTATGGTGCTTAGCCTGACCTTTATCGTATCGAAATATGTCATTCATGTACTGGCTTAAAGTGAACCTGTGATGACAGACTCACTTTAAATAGTGGCTACATGGATTAACACGTGAGCTATAAATCTAACACCTATTCATCACTGTATTCTACTACAATAAATGTATTTTTAAAATTCTATAAATGCCATTTCTAAATATATGTACACACAGATGGCAATTAAAGCACACCGGTTAAACTTTTAAAGTTATTATACACCTTATTACAAAGTCATATATTTTAGTATCTAATTCATTACCCATTAAAATCAAATTTGCTAGTTTAATCCAATTTAATCAATATATAGCACATAATACCCACTGTAATAACCATGATTAAGGAGATAGTGGCAGTGTGCAGGGCACTTCAAATTCAAGGGCACACAGACTGCTAAAGCGGTAGTTGGCGCTAATCATTTTGATTTTATGCAAGCTTGACTTGTATTATCTGTAATAAAGTTTTTAAATTGGTTTCATACAAGGTAGTATTTCTGGTTTTCTATGCCCATTGCAGGTTTAAAGGGCCATCTGCAACAACAAGGGGCAGACTTTTCAATGTGCCTTACAGCTATTGGAGTGGCACGATTCTATGAATTGGAAGGATCAGATACCCTTTTTTTAGACAACATTTTTCAAGTGAATCGAAGGTGGACCATTTAACAGCTGATAGGTAGATCTTTTTTTTTTTTTTAGCTATATTATTTTTATAGCAATGCCAGTTTTATATTAAATTTTTTTCTTTCTCCTTCTTTGATTTGATCTGATTGTAACTTTTTATTGCACACCCAATTTCTATTGCATGTTTACAAGATAAGTAGGACATATATTATAATTTAGCACAGTTTATCATTTCTATTGATGTATAAAACAGAAATTAGTTGATTTTTCTTTTTACCAACTATGAACTTGATTTAATATTTTTGGGATAAACTTTTCAAACGATTTATCTACAGAAGTCACCATTAAGGTCTGCAGGATTTCTTTTAGATAAATCATTTGAAAAGTTTATCCAAAAATACTAAATCATTTGAAAAGTTTATTCAAAAGTATTAAATGGAAGCCTATATTGCCATATTATTTTTGCTCAAGATTAATACACTTGCTCTTCATATTAATAACAGTCTGCTGTTTAGTGGACTTACCTCTTGGGTTTTTATGAACTATCATTTATAAATAATGTTTCTAGTGAAAGCAGATGTTGAATATTTTCTGCAAGATAAAAATGAGAGAATGGAAAGTAGAAAAGTTTAAGTATAAACATAATAAAACTCGTCGACCATACGACAAGGACAAGCCATAATTTTTATAAAATGCCAGGTACAGTTGTTAAACTATCCTCTGTGAGAACAGAAGGACACTTTGGCAGGAGCATAAAAATCATATTATAGGTGTCTACTGCAGCCAAGATTTTATTCCTAAATTATTCAATGAACTCACAGGGCGCTGGAGAGGTAAGGAACATCTCAATGCGTGTTTACTCTTCACTTAAAGGGTTAAAATGTTGACATAAGAGAAAATGTATGTAAAATCCAGCTAGCTAAAAGGGTAACGTGGCTGCTACTGTGACTCAATACATTTCATTAGATTCCAATAAAGCCATTTAATCCAGAAAAAAAAGTATGCATATGGCAGACATCATGTTATTCTGTTCCATATGAGAAAATGTTGAGAATAGCAATTTACAGAAAGCAGGAATATACATGCATGAGATGATTTTACATATGAAAAGGTGTTAGAATTATTATTTTTATTTTAATTATTATTATTATTATTGCCATTTATATAGCATCAACAGATTATGTATCGCTTTACAATATTATGAGAGGGGGGATTTAACTATAAATAGGACAATTACAAGAAAAGAAGAGGACTCTGCTCAAACGAACCTTCAGTCTACAGGTATAAAACACTTTAGGACAGGAAATAGCAATCAAGGTGGGAGTGAAGCAGAGCTGGAGGAGAGAGTAGAGTGCTGGTAAGGGACAGGTATGTGAGGTAGAGGTTACTCTTGGATGCCATAAACTTTCCTAAAGAGGTGGGTTTTAAGGCACTTTTTAAATGATTGAAGACTAGGGGAGAGTCTGATGGCAGTAGGCAGGCTATTCCATAGGAAGGGAGTCGCCGCGAGTAGTCCTGCAAGCGTGAGTTGGCCGTAGGGGTGCAAGCAGCGGACAGGAGGTCACGGGCAGAGTGGAGAGACCGAAAAGGGGCATACCTATGGATCTGTGAAGAGATATAAAAGGGGCTACAATTGTTCAGTGCTTTATAGGTATGGGTTAGCACTTTGAATTGACTCCTATAGGATACATGAAGCCAATGTAAGGACTGACAGAGGGGTGAGGTGTGAGCGGGCTGACTAGAGAGGAAAATTAGTCTGGCGGCAGCATTCATTACAGCCTGTAGAGGAGCAATACGGCTTTTGGGAATACCAATTAGGAGAGGGTTACAATAATTCATGCCGGAAATTACAAGCTCCTCAGTAGCATATTGCGTAAAAAAAATTGGCGGATGCGGGGTATGTTTTTACGATGGAATATACTGGATTTGGCAACATACTGGATGTAATGCTCAAAGGTGAGGCCAGAATCAATTATAAAGTGGTTATATTTCTTTATTATAACTATAACACAACTGACAATAAACAGTCTGTTGCCTTTTTCAAATCTTCAAGTCAATAACCTGTAACCAATAATATTTCACAAAATAAAGTGGAGCCATCAGGATAATCTGTACTGCTTTCCATGAGGCTATACTATATCTGCAAACTTGCCAGGTTTCATCTGGAGTTATCAGGTTTTACACCTTAATTACTTTGGATGAAACTCATTCAGACATCCCAACATGTAAAAGCTCATTTCAGGGAGGTGGCTTCATGAGCAACTGCATACGCCACGCTCACTCGCACGCGCCCCTACGAACATGTGTGCCCAAAAAAACGCAAACAGTCACTAAACATGTACGAACAATGACATGATATTTTATTATGACAGAACACAACTGTGACGGAACTCTGTCATGGAGTACCATGCCCACATGTGCCCACCTACTTGTCCTGTCACATTGGACCCCCAAGGATTGTTTCAGGTCCGTCGTATGTCCGGCCACAGGTCTGTCTATTTCTATGGGGGAAGATATGTGATGGATGGCCATATTTGTTTATCCTAACTGCTTTGTCCCTCCTCCATCCCCCATCAGATTCTTGGGATTGTGTATTGTGTTGGAGACCCCATTTAGGGGTCTGTGCCTGTAAAACCATGTGTGACAAAATAAATATCAGTTTATTTTCAGTTGTACTCCCAGAGCTGTCATGCCAGCTTGTTTTAAGGGTTCCAGAGTGGCTGAAGGAAGGTATTAATGGAGGTAACCAGTCGTGTTACCCAGGGTCCGCTACAACAACTATTTACATTTTACAACTAGTTAACACACAGACTCATGCACACACCTTGACACACAGATACAGACACTGACACACAGATATGGACACTGACACATACACACACTGTAACATACACATACTTGCACATATACACAGATACAAACACTGGCACACACACACTCAGATACACACTGACATACAGATACACACACTCAAATACACACAGATACACCGATTGGTATATACACACACTTAAATACATACAGATACATACACTGTCACATACATACACACTCACTCAGATACACACTGATACACACTCAGATACACACTGACACACAGATATACAAACACTCAGATACACACTGACATATAGAAAAACACACACTCAAATACACACAGATACACACGCTGGTACATATACACATGTGGATACATACTGATACACACACTGGCACATACACTCAGATACACACTGACACACAGATACACACACACTCAGATATACACTGACACACACACTAGCACATACACACAAGGTATAACAAATTGATTTACAGCCATCCTTAGCTTGCCTTGTGTCCTGACTGAGGCTGATGGAAGTGAGCATGTACCTGATCCTCCTTCTCCCTCCCGTGCGGCTATCTTTTTAGCTGGGAGGGAGTGACAATCTGTCTATCACTTCCTCCCAGCTGGCAGATACTAAACTAAAAGTATGTATGAATGAAGGGGAGCTATGATTTGGTAATCCTTCTCGAAACCTCTGGTATCTAAATCATGTTGCTCTTTGCTACTGAGATACAGTATATAGCGATAAAACCAAGCCCATGGAGAAATCCCTATTACTCTGTCATCTTGAGGATTCCTGACAAATATGACATTTCCCATTGATATCTATTAATTCAGTCTCTGCATTTGCCTGCCAGCCAATGCATAGGTAGCTATTTTTTATTTGATAGTACAGTCACACTGACATGGAGTAAGGTGGAATCCATCAATCTTAGGGCAGCACTGGTACATGCAAAAGCTTCAGTTTGTGATTGCTGTTGTTAATTCCATCCCTCTTCCATCACAAGTGATGCTGAGAGAGTTCTCCACGCTATAGTAATAGTGAAGAATTATTTATTGGAATAAACATTTAGCAATATGAAAATAATATTAATCTATTGACATTTTAAATTGTTTTATGAGGTTACAACTATATTTACCTTTTTTTCCTTTTTTTTTTTTTTTTAAGAAGGTGTATTTTTGCTATAATTTTATGACTGCTGCAAGTCAGTTCTCTGAAGTTTAGACATCTGAATCTATTTTTACATTCTTGATAACGTTATTCTCCTGGCATGGAATGGTCATCTACTTCTATGCGAGAGTCTAAGGTGCATTGTGGAAATACACAGAGCTCATCCTATGGTCCACAAGCTTTACTGACCACTAACCAAAGAACATGAAAGAAATAAATGTAATATAAAACTGGCAATGCTATAAAAAAAATGCTAAAAAATAATCCACTTATCAGCTGTCAAAGGTCCACATCCGATTCACTTGAAAAATGTTGTCCAATAAAAGAGTCGCTGAAGAGTATCTGATCCTTCCAATTCAGAGAATCTCGTCACTCCAACGGTCATATTTAAGCTTACAAATTTTTGATTTGCTTCAAAACTTTGAACATATAATGATATCACTGAATATTCACACACTCACTCATTTTAAATGTTAACAAAATGATTCTATGCAATCCAAGAAATAAAATTAATAAGTAACAGGGTTTCTATATCTATATTTTTGTCAATAAAAGTCACAATGAAACCTATTTTTTATGATTATTGTGAAATGTTAATAATGTTGTAAATACATTTCCAATAATCCATCTATTATTTTTTGCATACTTTTTAAAACTTTACAGTTATTCTTCTCCAGGCTAGTAGAATAAAATAAAATAAAGTCAATTGTGTTGAAGAATACTCCCTCCATACTTATTAAAATGTAAATAATTGCAAATTAATAATTTACAAAGTGAGATCTACATATATGGTAACAAAATGTATTAGTTGCAGATTCCTTAAAACTTAAACTGGAAAAATAAAAACTGTAAACTAAGTTATTGTTCTTTATGTATTGATTATTTCTGTTTAAATCGGATTATAAGTTGTTCTGCAAGAGAATTAGTTGGGGAAATGTATTATTTGGTGATTATTGAAATTCATTTCTATATAATGTTTGAAAGAAACCTGAACAAGTTTGGGCGTCATAAATATTCATCTGTCTGGCAAGGAATATATTTTATTATTAGTACAATTCCATTTTTTTTAATTTAATCTACTTGTTAAGGTTTGCTATATAATAAGGTAATAAAGTTGGGGCTTTCATGAAAAAATTATTAGTTGGAGTTCAAACAATTACTATCGCCAACCTTTAGTAAAGGATTTGTTTGTTACGTTCATCTGTGCTTAGAATGCCTTTTCATTGGTTCCAATCATGGGTCATTTCACAGTGTCCCACAATAGATAAGAACCAAAAATATCAAATATGTATAGACACAAGTTGGGCAAATCTGTTGACTAGCTACATGTTAGCAAATAGCATACAAATAGGGTTCTTTAAAACATAGAATGGTTTTATCAGAAAATAAACACCGGCTTGATAAATGAGCATTAAATGAAAATTAATCTAACAAATATAAAACTTTCTCAAAACCAATGTTTTAAAAATGTGCACAATATTATATGTTTACATTTATGTATTGTTGTTGAGTCAGCCTTCAAAATATAATTTAAAAAAAACACTTCAAATGTATGCTAGCTATTTAAATTCATTTGTATGTAATTTTGTGACAAAAAAAAATAAGATTAAGGGGTTTAGATTTTGTGATAATTTTTCCCCATAGGCTCCCCATATTGGGTAAAAAAACAACCTTATTACAGTGCTGGGACTATTTATTATAGTATAGGACAAAATGGTGATGTTTATTATATGCACTACAATAATCCTTGACTGTCATTAACTAAATAAAATAAACATTATGATAAACATGGTTAATCTACTGTACCATACTTGGTATCTAATATAAATACTTAAATAAAAATACAAAAATAAAAAATAATATATTCGATATTTCAGCAGATTAAATACATAATCATAATTAGCCAAACGGTGTCAGTAATTTTTCCAAATCAGCTATTTCAGCTTCACTTTTGCTATTTTGATTTAATTTTCTATAATTCAGAGTTTAATGAATATCTGTGATGGAAATGTGCCTTTGTTACTATAGACTAAAAGCATAAAAACCTATGGACTTCAAAACTCATATAGTATATAAAAGTAACGGCTTGAGCTGTATTAACTAAACAGTCAGGGCTATTTACTAAAATGTGAATTGTCTAGAATTAAAAAATACATTAAAAATAAATTTCAAAATTCAGGCCAAAATACATTAACCGAAAGAAAATGAAAAGCTGTCTTGAAGGAATTTTCCAATTAGGACATTTTGGTCTAATTTTTCTTTTTATTTCACTTTTCCATTCACTGTGAATTCCCAACCATTTTGCACTTAAGTAATACACTTAAGTGGGTTTACTTAGGTGAAAAATTGAAAGTTTTAGTATCATATTAACTTTTTCTGAGTCAGTTATTATACCTTAAATTCTGAAATTCATTATTCAACTCACCAAATCTCCCTCATTTAGTGAAGTCACTTAGAAAATATATAACAAGTTCAACAGAATTAATACAAAATGTTGTGATTATTTAGTGTGAGTTGCAAGAGCACATTTTTAAAGTAAGTTTCCCTCATTCAACTGACTTAACAGATTATAAACTTATAAATAAAAAAAACAAGAAACATTTTTCCTGTCAACCTAAAATTAGGTTTTGTCTTCGCAGAGCCAGACACTTCCTCCGGGTATAGTATCACTAAGCTTCCAAATTATTTTCCAATTCTGAGAGCAGTTTAGAGCAGTAACACTACAAAGTCAATCCAACCAGAACAATATCAGAGTTTCTTTAAAGAACCTTTTGGGATCAGACAAACCTGTGAATCTTCAACAGTAGAACAACAATCAAGTTTCACTATCCTGAAGTACCCTCAGTAGTATAACACCAGATCAAAAATGCAAAACAAGTTCAAAGAAAAAAAAACAAAAAAAACATTAATTTACATAGAAATACATTTATTTTCCCCAAATAATATTTATGCGTTTTTTTTTCCCCCTGACATAAAAGACATGATTACCATAATACTTTTATTTTCTATTTTATTTTTGTTCCCATCGCTTGGAAGCGCGATTTGAACCATCTGAAATCGCAAGCGTTTAGGAAAAGGTGAACAGTTCTACTGCTTTTGACATTAAAACAAATTTCAACTTTTTTATTTGCATCAACTTAACTGTTCCTTGAGGAATATTATTCTTCTGAGTGATTATAGTCTACAGAGGAATCGCTTAATTAACATTACAATAATATGCACATCACCGCTCCTTCTCCTATCACATATTAAAAATTCAAGCCAATAACATCGTCTGACGTTAGAACGGAAAGGTTAAACATAGACCGTAATGCCATAAAATTGCCTGCAGATGATTACTGCATCTTTTCAGATGAACTAAACAATCTGTCATGCTCCCTTGCTGATATAAAAGTGCAAGACATTGTTACATTAATGATAATAGCACAAGGGGAAAAAAAAATTATATATAGGTATATAAAAGATTTCTTGCCTGAAATTTGACCTTTCCAAGTTTATCCCAGCAGCAGATACATTGGAGTCTAATTACTGTTCAATATTCTTTGCCTCCAAGAACATTAATAAAAATAAAAGACACGAACAGACATCAACACATCTGATTTAGAACTGGGACTTTTGACTGTAGTCGTGTAGATGGTTTTAAAAAGGCAAAATGCCAGTCATGAGATCCTATCAGACTATTGGTAAAATCCTGAGAGCAGCACTACAGTTAATCAATAAACAATGCAGAGAGCTGACAAAGAAAGATAAAAATAAAAGCTTTCACTAGTTTGCAGTTTGAGGGCTTTTGTTATGAAATTGTGCTGTACAACCGAATTGCACTTAGCATTGTTCTAGAAACTTTCTGGTTCGTGTGTCTGTAACAAAGTCTCATCAAGGCTGTAGCTGTTAAATGACGACGGAGCATTGATTTATTGTGGGCTATTTAAAGGTAGAAAATTGCAACAGTGCTATGTTCTTTATATTATATTTTATTACGTATGCTACAAACAAACCTGACAATAAAGAGTGAATAGTGGGAAATTAAAAATCAAATCCTCAAAGAGAAAGTAGTTAAACTGAAAATATTTTTCAACCCAAATTTTGTATCCTGGTCATCACAATTCGTTGTTTAGAGAACTAACAAAATTTGATATATGCTAACACCTTTATATTATAAAGATACAGGAATTTTAAATTCTTGACGTATGTTTGTTCAAACACGGTGTTTATTCTCTAATGTAATCTGTTTGGAACTCAGCTGTAGTCCCAACTTGTTTCTGTGTATTTCAACATTCATTCTACCTATTGACGTGTAATTTAATGCAGTTCGATGTTTAGAGAAGAACCCCCAACCTCTCAATTTCATAACTTTCCTCTTTCCATTTAGTGAAAACACACAGATTGGGATACCTATGTTATACCAATTTGTTGTAGCTGTATTTTCAAAACCAACAGCAGTAATAAATATATCTGTCTAAAAAAACATCTTTGTATTTTGTTTTTAGAAAAGTTAAACTTTTCAACCAACTACTTTGAGTAGGTCTTATTTGAACATGTATAAATAAAGAAATGTTTGTCATGCATTATTAAAGCGTCTATGTCACTGTCTTTGTACATTTTGAAAATATCCCAATTTGTGACATCTCCGCTAGAGGTGTAGTGACTACGGGGTGCAGGGAAATCTGAGCTTTACCTACCTGGATCTGTCCTTCATGGCCACCGTCATCTTCTTCCAATCTGTCCTCGTCAGCTTCTGACGCATCATCTGCATGCACAAGAGTACGACACCAAAGTCTATGTAGGATCCCACCAACCAGACAAAGGGTCCTCCATTGACAATGTATTTTTCCCTACATCCATCACTAGCGATGGGAAATAACAAAACGTGACAAAAGTAGCTCCTCCTTTTGTCAAGTTTTGTACTGGAATAAACTAGGACAAAATAGTCCCGACTTTGTCTAGTATATCTTTTGGTTGCATTTCATTGAAATTCCAACATAGTCAATGTGAGTATTTCATAAAGATTTTATCTATGTGAAACACTCATTTTGGAGGGAATGACAGAGACGCTTTAAGTTTCCATTGCAATACCAGTTAGGAATAAATTAATTTCCAAAATGCGAGTCCAACCATAGGCCTCAATTTAGACATGGCTGCCTTCCTCACTATCATCCTAAATACTTCTAAATGTGTCCAATATAGCATCTGAGTCTGCCAGAAATGTCTCAGAAATATTGTATGCATTAACTTTGCTCTATAATGTGCAAAGAATCATGTCACAGAAATAATTAAAGAATGATAAATGGTATTCTAATATTAACATTTTATCTGGATTGTAAAGCTGAGAGCAGCTGTGAACATCAGCTCAGTGTCTTAGTTGCAGATGCTGTATCTAGTGAGATAAACGTTTCTTAAGAAATATATAGATTAGGGAAAAGTGAGAGAGCAGGCAGGATTTAGGGACACTATACTCACCAGAACAACTACAGCTTAATGTAGTTGTTCTGGGGTGAGTATAGTCTCTCCCTGCAGGCATTTTCATGTAAACACTGCCTTCTCAGTGAAACAGTGTTTACATTGGTGCCTAGGTCAGTCACACAGACGGCCACTAGAGGTACTTCCTGGGTCAATGCTTCACAATGTGCAGCACTAATGTTCAGCCTTTCCATGCTCTGCTGAAGGGCCAGTACAGCGTTTGGCTCTGCACTGCCTCCTTGGCTAAGATAATCAGAATTGACAATCCCAGCCAATCCAATGCTTTCTTATATGCGGCGCTGGAATAAAGGTGAGTTTTTATCCTATTTAAGGGTGCAAGTGGGGACCGACCTCCTTAATAGTGTTAACACTTTATTATCAGGAATGCACGTTTGTATTTCTGACCCTATAGTGTTCCTTTAAGTTTGTGAATGAGGTCCAGGGCACAAGACATGATGCATGATGGCAAGGGAAGAAAAGGAAAATTTAGTAGAGGATAATGCCATAATATCTACAGTATTCATTATTTTTGTTGGAGGTGGGTGTAATAATTAATAATGTATTGTTTAGAGGAGGATAAATGAGCTGAGATGTAAAATAATTGAAGTATCACAGTATTGTGATTCAGGTATATGGCAATTCATTGTTGAGGAATTCAGATTACTCACTGATCACCCAATGTTTGGATGACTCATGATTTATTTAAAACCAAATGTACAGGTCTACTATTAAACAGCTTTATTTTCCATGATGAAGAAAAATGCCTCCTGTCCAATCAAGAAGTGCAAAAAAATATATATTTCCAAGGATGATTTTAAAGACACTTTGACTTGAGTAATTGATGGAGACAAACCAGCAGACAAGGATTAGCTGGTTTAAACCTTGCTGTGACTGTGTGGGAGTGGGAAATAGCCTGTGTCATTGATCCTAGAACTTGAATGGTTAGGTTTAGCTTACTACTGAATCTCCCTAGCTACTGACTTCTCATTAAACTACATTGGTAACTCTGTGATTGGATAACCACAGAAAATCTTGGCTGGGGAAAAAGGTGATTGCTGGCAACAACTTTAGAAAAGCTTTGCAAACTGCTTTTAGATAAACTGCCAATTAAAAATACATAATTAAACGTGTGCATATTCTCATTGGGGTATAGCTTCAAGTGGTTTTAATTTAATTTATTTTGGCAGTGGAGTGTCCCATTAAACCAAAATATAGATATAGCCTGTTTATTTAATCAATCCTAGTGTGAAACTGGTGGTTCGGTTACTGCTGTGCCTAACCACTGTCACTTTAAGTGGGTGATAGATATAGCCTGTTTGTTTAATCAATCCTAGTGTGAAACTTGTGGTTAGGTTTTTGCTGTGCCCAACCACTGTCACTTTAAGTGGGAGATAGATATAGCCTGTTAATCTGTTACATGATTCCTGTGTGAAATTTTGGTTAGGTTACTGTTGTGCTTGGCCACTGCCACTGCCAGGTTTAAAAGGAGGAGGAGTGAGTATGTTATTGAGTAAAAACATAATAATAATAATAATATTAATAATAATAATAAGGTTCCCTTTGCCTAGCTTCTGCTAGTGCAACCTACACCAACTCTGAGTGGGAGGTAGTTTGGATCATTAATCCTACTGGATACGTTATTGCTGTAAACACAAAATTAGCAAACGGAAGGTAAAGTATTGGACAATTTAGTGCAGGTATACCAAAGGCAGCAAACTCTAACACTGGGGACCCCTCCAAGGCCCAGGAAGAAAAAGAAGTGAACACATAGTACAAACAACAGTTGGCACCAATGGAATTGGCTTTATTAGTCTTTTTTTTATAATGGCGAAACCTTTTGTTTGTACTATAAGTTACTGCTGTCCCTAGCCATTGCCAATGGCACTGTGCCACTTGCTCCAAATTTAAATGGAAGATGTCAGCCTGTGTAATTGTTAGGGACTGGCACAGATGCAAACCCATCTGAATCATAAGTGGCCACAAGGCAACAGGTTGAGGCTAATATATTGCATCAAACGGAATTTGGAATCTTTTTAAGGGCCCGTAAAAAGTAAGATTTGCAAAGTGTAAATTATGCGGCAAGCAAGTGAGTAGGTGGAGAGTGATGAGTCATCCCACTAGCGCCGGCATGAACTTACATATGAAAGACACCACAAATCTTGATTATCGAAGGAACATGCAGAACAAAAATGTACTAGGGCAGACAGCAGGTCCACTGATTCTGCGCAAGCACCTACCACCAGCGGTATCTCCTCTAAATATAAATAAAACAGGGGGACATGCATATTTTATAAATATATATATATATATTTTTATTTAGCATTTGATGTTCATTAGCACCTGGAAAGATGAAATTATACATACACTATAATGCTAATTGGATGTGACAATGGCATAAATCTACTACTTTCAAAGCCATGTTGGTGAAATCTCACTGTTTAAGCAATAAATCTGTCAATTATTTTTTTTATTTTTTTTGGAAGCAGCTTTATTTAAAATCATAAAAATTTATAACAAACTTCAAAAAAGCACATGGGTATTAAGGAAGGCAAAACAGAAGGCACCTTATTTAATTCAATTAGATGCTTTTAACCCAACAGGTATCCACCTGTTCATCCTGCTGGGCTGAATTTAACATCAGTTGTCAAAAAGATCACACCACATGTGGACATCAATTTGCCCTATGGGCAGAATTTTTTGATTTTAAAAGTCATCCGCCATTATCAAACTACCTCCCTTCAAGAAAGGGAGGGTTTCCACTTGTAATTCAGTGACAATTCTAAATCATACATCAATCACACACCTACACTTCCACCCCAATATATTTATAGCTGAAATGGTAAATCTAATAAATTTATATACTGTAGTAAACTTTTTAAAGATTAACTTTACTGAAAATGACAACTGTGGAGTTTACAACAATGTAAAATGCTCTAAAAAAAAACTACTTATGAATTCTTTATGAATGCCCGAAAGCAAATTAAGTAAATTTAAGTAAAAGATGTATGTAGAACATAGTTAGTTTAAAATACCCAAGTGGGATTTTAACCTGAAGGACAAAAGAGAAAAAAAAATTGAAATATATTTACAATACATTAAGTTCCTTGGCGTAGCTCAGATGAGGAAGACTATTAACTACAATAAAAT